ATTCTTCAAGTTGTGTTCTTTGAGTAAAATGGCGCTTGCAATGCAGAATTAAATGTTTTTGGGTTGCACACTTACCATAGACACATAGGAAATTATGGTGATTCAAGTGTAAGCATGAATTCAATGTTTTAAGAACTTTGTCGGAAACAGACGTTGACGTATAGTGCTGCGGGAATTATATCATATTATATTTTATTCCATAGTTAGCATGATATTCATAGGATAACATGCGAAAATAAAAACGGTATTTTTGTAATCAGTGGTAAAATATGATATTTTTGACAAATTTTCACTTAACCATAGCATACGGTTTTTTAGCCATGACATACGACGTCGTATCTCATACTTAAGTGGGTTTGGGGTAGATATCACTCGGGAATATATATCATATCTGAGGAGCGGGCAGGATATATTGTATATGTCCCGCTCCAGGCCAAATGCGGGCAGATATAATATATCCATCCCGCTCTCGGGAATTTTTCAAAAGTTTAAAAAAGATTAAAAAAGTATGAGATACACCAGTTATGCACGGTCGGTTTGGATACATGGAATATCCCTTGGGATATACAATACATCTTCCCTCGGTCCCTTCGGTCCCTCGGGAAGATATATTGTATATCCCTCGGGATATTCCCTGTATCCAAATCCTCCCAGTGCATAACCCCTATGTATGCGATGGTTTATGGATTTTTGCTACTTCAGACTCAAAACGAGGCTAAGTGTCAACATCGCCAGATCGTTTGGAAATTCGAATTAAAGAACTTAATTTCCGACGATTCTGATGATGACTTTAACTATGGAATAAAAAGAACATCCTATGATTTACTCGTGATATGATTTTAATCCACTCATGGATATTGATATCTGCACTCTCTCACTACGCTCGCTCGTGCAGATATCATATCCATTCGTGGATAAAAATCATATCACTCATAAGTCATAGGATATCCTCTATATATCCCGGTGCCAGGAGTATATGATAAATAAAAAGGAATATTTGTGATATCGTCATGATATTATATGCTCATTCGAAAGCTTACTCACTACCTCATCGGGTTCTACTCACGGTATAGTCGGAATAGCTCGGTGGTAGATTCGGGTCCTATATAATCGTACTCGTGACATAATCGGGTCTTTCATTTTCAACTTTCACCGGTGATTTCAATGATATGCAACGTATGGCAGTGCAATAAATATGATACATTTACACCTATTGTATCTTTGAATCGAATGAAGTAAAGACAGCCATGGTTGTTACTTATTCAAGATGTAAATCATCATTCAAATATTTAAAAGTTGAATTTAGCGATTGGATAGTAAACATTGCGCTAAGTACTCATTATTTTGCAAACATGAGTGCCTGGAACAATAACTTTATCAGTTACGCACATTTCTGTTTTTTATCTGTTTCTCATATTGAGAAATTCAAGATATAAACAAAAGTTTATAACTCACCCCCTACATTTTCAGACATCTTCGGGTCTTTGCTCGGCGGTAGGTTGTATATACACGGGTACTCTTTCCCCTCGTGTCTCCACAATGTTAACTGCGGAAAATGAATTTCTAATTTATCTTTCCAGAGGGTGGGCCAAAAATGCGTACACAATATAGAATCTCAACCCCTAATATAATTTCATGGATTTATTTGTTACTTGGCACAAGCAAAGATAGTAAGTTATCATTTAGTTTCATGTATTATTAGCATTGTCAACAGTTATTTAATAGTCATTTGAGGAGGTTTTCAACAGGACCCCTTCTCTTGGACAATGAGCCTTAGCTGCATTCGCCATTGATCAATTGCTTCATTCAATGTCTCCTGACTGGGAGCATTCCATTCTCTCTTTATCACCCTTGGTATACGCAGCTAACGAAAATTGACCGGTACGGGTCAAAAGCTGGACCGGTACGGGTTAACGGTTTTATTTGAATTTAAAACAGCCATAACTTGCTCAATATTGACTTCCTCTTGTCTAATTTGAAATATATGATGCCTCCCGATGCTTTTAAGTACCCCAATTTTTTACAGATTTTTAAACGGACCAAAACTCTCTAAATGCGCATTTATGCTCTTTTCTCTCGAGAACGACTGTCTCATTTTCACGATAACTTTTATTTAGTACTTCTAACATATAAGATCTATTTTTCCCCATCAAGGTATGATGTAAATGACATGCTATTTACATCTTGTGAGTTTCAATGACGCGCGTTTGATTTTATAAAAAATGCCAAACTTTGTGACAAAAAATTTCATCAGCTATTGCCCCGAACCGGTCCGTCTTCTCACTGCAAGCAGATTGCCCCGAACCGGTCTGTCTTCTCGCTGCAAGCAGGATGAAATTCTTTGTCACAAAGTTTGGCATTTTTTATAAAATCAAACGCGCGTCATTAAAACTCACAAGATGTAAATAGCATGTCATTTACATCATACCTTGATGGGGAAAAATAGATCTTATATGTAGAAGTACTAAATAAAAGTTATCGTGAAAATGAGACAGTCGTTCTCGAGAGAAAAGAGCATAAATGCGCATTTAGAGAGTTTTGGTCCGTTTAAAAATCTGTAAAAAATTGGGGTACTTAAAAGCATCGGGAGGCATCATATATTTCAAATTAGACACGAGGAAGTTGAAACAGGGTTTAGGTTTTCATATACATCAACTTTTGGTACAACTTCATTTTTATATCACATTGATTTAGGTTTTAAGATATATGTTATTGTTCTATACATTTGATGTACATCATTTCTATTCTTTATTCTCCTTAAGTCCACTTGCACTCAATACGTGATATCATTCATAAATAACATTAAAATCTTGGCTCTTTTCATATTGTTATGTCTTTTCTATCAGGAGAGTTCCAATTCCCATAAAGGAGGATTTTTTAGTTCAGGATATTCTAGTGTATTACATAATCTACTTGGCTTTCTATTGGTTCAAATGTTGGTTCCTCATGGGAATCAACATTTGCCTCCATTTAAAGGAGGTTTAGGAGGTTCAGTAGATTTAATATGACATTAACTTTAATTTGTTCATTATTGGTTTATTTATTTGGTAATTATGGGAAATTATTATTCGCCTCCTTTTTGGAACCTTCCCTGTGGAACTTTCCATACTTTCTGTCTCTTCTTTAGTATCACCTTAGAAAATCATCTTCAGAACAGTTTTTACTACGACACAACATACTGATTAAACTAAACTCAATGTAAAGATTGGATTTTGATAATGAAATAATAAACGTTTAGGACTTTAACTTTAAGAATTTTATGTTACTTTATTCGAACCTAAAAAACTGTTTCAAAGTCAATATTGAGCAAGTTTTGGCTATTTTAAATTCAAATAAAACCGTTGACCCGTACCGGTCCAGCTTTTGACCCGTGCCGGTCAATTTTCGTTAGCTGCGTATACCAAGGATGTTTATCTTCTGTTGTAGAGTTTGCAGCGATGCAATTGTTCTAGAATGCCTGTAGGCATTGTTTTAAAGGCAACCCAAAGCACAGTAGTCAACCGGGGTGTTTGGGGCCACAAATATCAGGTGGAATAAAACAAGGTGTTTTCTGTTTAAGGTAGTCAATTGTTGATTTCGATCGATGCAATGGTGCTCCATCCTGTTGAGAAATAAAGTCTCTGGATATGCGCCTTATCTGTCCTTTATCTAATACATTTTTGGCAGTGTTCTACATTCATATTTGCTTCTTTTCAATGAATACCACGTAAGTTATCCCCTTTTTTAGAAAAGGCTACAGCTGCCATGGTTTTTTGTGTGAAGTGTTTTCGGGGATGGAGCAGCCGTGACTTGCTAACCTCCTTATTACGCACAGCAGAAGATTTGATATTTTAGGTGAAAAGAACATATGTGTTGCTATGTTTGAAAATAGGTTAATGGCGTAAATCTAAGGCCTATTTTCAAGAATTTTGAAAACCTTTCGTCCTTTGCTTTTGACATACAATAGAAAACACAGATATTTGCTTACAAAATCAACAATATACACTGTTGCTCATAAATATGGAATATTTTATAGATACGAACTGTTCGATGGAATTTCTACAAAATGATAACATTTTGAAGAAAATTTGTAATGTGTTCTCATTCCCTCATGAGTTTTGCATATAAAACTGATTGGTGTGAAAAGTTAAAACATTTATGGTTGATTAAACTTGTATTCACTCAGGTGACCCTATGACCTCATGATATTGGCAACTTGAAATAGGTGTCCAAATCTTAGTTTTTAACCATTGTGCACATTTTACAAAAATTTAATTTAGAGTTGGAAGAGTTTTTAGAAGGCACACCCCATAAAACAAGCGAAAAAGAGCATGACAGGTCAAAGGGATGGCGCTCTCTGGCATGAAACAAACTGCCATTGCCAGAACCATAGGGGTGTGTCAGGAACAGTCTCTAAAATTCTGCAGTGGTACCAAAGGCACTAAAATAGTATAGGTCACAGCAATAGTAGCCCTAGATAGAACAATGTAAGAAAAGACCACCACCTGCTGCATTTATGTCATCAAAATCGCTTTAAGTCAGCCAGTAGTCTACGAGATGAATGGGTGTCCCACCTCAAAACCTGTGTTCCAGAGCTATAGACAACCAGTGGCATCTTTAGAACGGATGTAAGGCCATGAGACCTTTAAAGAAACAACAGCTGACTGATCATAACAAAGAAAGGTGGCTTCAATGGGCAGGAAAGCACCAAAACGTTGGACCTAATCTTTGGTGACATATGACAGCAGGTGAAGAAATAAGATGTGTCCTCCACAAAGTTAATAATTGTGTTCGTTTCTGTCGTAGACCAGGGGAAAGAGACAATAAGGACACTTACTGAGATGTCAGTCCACAAAGGTGACCCTATTTATGTTTGGAGCAGTATTACAGAGGTTCTTTGGAGCAGTACTACAGAAATTGCACCCCCTTGGTGATTCCGAAACATAATTTCAGAGTAAATTGACCTTTTGGACCTCCATGAAGTACCACATGTAAACAGAGTGTTTTGGGGCAACGTTCAACTGCAGAATGATCATGCTGTTGCATATGCTAGTGGCATTGTGTTGGATTACATCAGGGCAGGCAATGTGGACCAGCTACCATGGGCACAAAAGTCAGCCAATCAGGCTAATGCAGAGCAAATGTGGGACGACCTTGGTAATGAGATTCATGACTTGGACCCCAACCTCAAAATTTAGACACGTTACACACTGCTCAGATTGAGGAATGGGGACTTATTTCACTTAGAAAGGTCAGATGTTTCATTCAATGCTGGTCCCGTAGGGTTGATGCTCTGATTGCAGCACAAAGAGGACATAACGCATATAAGTGCTATTATTTGATAGAGGACACTTCAATCTTCATGACCAGATGTTTATTTTGTTTGCTCTGTTTTACATGACAATTTGGATCGGGGTGTTTTGAAAATGCAAAAATTCTTAGCGTACCCCTGTTTAAATAACAGTAATTTTCTAAACTAAAATGTGAATATTTTTTCCCCAAAAAATGTTGATTTATAGATGAAATATGTGGTAATGATTTGCCCAGAAAATAAATGCCCAAACCGCCTCCAAAAAAATGTTCTCTTACTCCAAAATTTGAATTCTGAGCTGCCAAATCTAATATTCCATATTTATGAGCAACAGTGTATTCGAAAACTAGAGCTGATGGGCAAAAGAATCATATACGATTTGATTCAAATTGGTCTCGTATTTTTTGTTTAATGTATATCCGAAAAGTTAGAGGAAACAAAACTGTTAAATATATCGTTCATGACGCGCCCAGTCCCTATGTGCGCCTTATATTTGTTAATCATTACTAAAAATTATAAAAACAGGGGTTTATCTAATTATACCTGACAGATAATGTCTTGGACTACTTGTGTGAAAAATATTAGGATCTGGCTGTTTCATACCAGGGTCGTCAAAAAACGGCAGCCCTAGTTTTTCCTGAGGAATAACTCCCTGATATTTTACACATTTGTACATCATTCAATTTCCTAACAACCTACTACATTTCTTGACCATCAGACTGATAGTCACAATATTACTGCATTTTAAGCAACATACCCCAGATGGCCACTTTCGGGCTGTCTGAGCTGGTCTGTTATCCAAATAAACTCAATTTCCAACTTGATAAACTGGTAATTATAAACTCTAACAATTATGTATTCTTGTGAGCCAAGCACTTTATGAAGTAGTGGAGAATCCCCACGACGTTTTTTATCACAAACGTATATCAGTATCATATGTTTTAGAAAATGTTCATGTTTGCGAAAAATAGCTCAGAAGACAACAGAATCGTCGATTTAATTCCTCACTTAAGTTACGTAAACGATTTGGGTTAAAATTGCAAATCTTACCTGTTTTTCGAAAAACCGTTTATGTAACTTACATTGTAAGTGAAGAATTAAATCGACAATTCTGTTGTCTTCCGAACTATTTGTTCGCACATATCGGCATATGTACATTTTCTTAAACATATGATACCGATACATGTTTGTGTTAAAAAATGTCGTGGGAATTCTGCCTACAACGTGTGGAATAAGGAAAAAAATCGTACCTTCGACGTTCCGACATTTTGTTACCAAAACGAACCGTTTCGGTAACCAGCGTAATCGAGTGGATCACCAGTGGTATTGGTATATTATTATCTCTCGTTTGGATATTTGACTTCTCAGGTATTATTAAAGATATTAATCAATATTGACAGACAGTTAGGCGCATTATTGCTTGGACATCCACTTACGTATTAAACCTTCACTTGGCAACTTTAAAGTGGACCAAAACGTATGCATTTATGGTTGAGAAAGATCGGAACCAGCCATAATTTCTATTGCGGTCGTTGGTTCTCTTCGATTGTGTCTTCTCTGCGTTGTGTTATGCTCTTTGATCTTCCAATTCGGGCACTCGTAAATCGTAATGCATACATCATATTTCCCTCCAGTAGGGAATCGTACTTAATTGTATTGGCTAATGCAAAATGACACCATACAATAATGCTAGATAATCTAGCGATTTAGCAGTGCAAAAGTATGAAGGAATACGAATAGGATCATTAGTTAATCCTAGCAGTAAACAGTATTCTTATTAATTGTTTCAACAAATCATTTTAATTACAATTCCATAGTACTTGATAAAATATCGCATAGCTATCATATGCGTACAAACTGGTGAATAGGAGGCTACATGTTTAGCACACAATTGTTGTTGTCTGGCTTGTTGACTGGCATATTAGGACATTTATAGCAGTGAAAAGATTTCTTCAAACTGTACGTATGTTTCTTATCTGTTCCCGATATACTGACACACCGTACTCGTACATTGTAGAAAAAGATTAAACTAATATTGGTTTCACTAAAACAAATATATCAAGTAAAGCTGCCATAATAATACACTTCCAGGTGATTATTGTTATTTTACAAAAACTATTACTTTTAGTACATGATTGATATGAAGATATATCGTTGAACAAAGCAAAACCCAAGTCGTAAAATGAACCATCTCAATCCTTGAAGAGAAAAAGCAATTCAGGAGCCATAAACATCTTCGGGAAAATACTTTATCAATTTAATCATCATTTTAATAGACAAATTTTAAGCAGGTAATAAATGTTATTGTGTAGCATTAATAATTTCTGTGGCAAATCAGGGAGGGATGACAGTTGTATGGCTTCAACAACTGTAAACACATCATAACTTAGAATAAAATGTAATCTCGATACAAAGGTAATATCCGATTGTCAGAGAACAATACGATCGATTTGATACAACTGTCAGCTTCTCAGCTTTCTTTGGCGTCACCTTACCAGGTAATCACAAATTACAATCAGAAATGCAACCTCAGTGCGTCTTATGGTAAGTTTGATTAATTTAAATTAATAAGCTTTACACTAATAAAATACTATACAACTGCATTGAACAACGTAATTGTGGATTTTCATATTGTCCGTTCATCTCATGGTAAAAACCTTAAATGTCTAAAATGTTAATGAGGTTATCATAATAAAAATGACATGGTTAATTACCAATGAGTACAATAATTGTTCGCATATTTACTGAATTTCACAGAAATATCATTCAAAATGAAATAAATCAACTGTAATGGAAAGAGAAGAAAAGCCTTATTTCAAAAATATACATATTTGTAAAAGTACGTTCTCTAAAATAGATTTGAACTACGTACGTTCTCGAAAATAGATTTGATCTACGTACGTTCTCTACAATATAGATTCGGCCTATCGGCGATGGGCAGTTTGTCCTACAGACAGACTAATTGGGCGGGTTAGTGTCACCCTTATCTCTTCATGATTTCACCCGTTGGGAACATTTTGATACAATTTAACATGTCTATTCGTAACGGCTAATCGAGTAAATTTAACATGAACTGGACATGAATGGTTCTCAAATGCATTACGTAAATGATTCAATTGCAATAATTGAACTTGCTGCATTTAGGTACTTATAGTCTTTCTTTAAAGAGAGAATCAGATATAGCGAGCAGGCTAAACAATTTTTTTTTCAATTTTAGAATATTTTTGGCTCATGTCATTCCTTGTCATGTCTATTTTCTAAGAATCACAAAAGTACATACTTTATTCCAGGAAAACTAAAGATTTTTACAATAATGTATTATTTTTCTATAAGAATGGTTACCATTCTTATTATTCGAGAGAAATTAGACATTTTCACTCATATTTGCACTTTGAATCATTAATAACTTCACCAATTTATAACATATTGCGAATCTTTAGGGAAATATTGTATTTGATATTGTAAGGAATAGATTGGTAGGTCAATTATACATGTTGCTTGTAATTTTGTCACCCCCTATAGATCAGATTCTGCCTTTAATATATACTCCTCGAAAAAAGTTAAGGACCTCATAGGTTTACATGTTAACCCCCATATTTGTTGAACGACTGTATTCTAACCCCCCTATCACACCAAGCTAGTTCTTACCCGTTCTTGCCAGTCCTACGAAAACGTCGTAAAACGGGCTCAATCTGGCTGTGGTCGGGAAATATGTCTGAAATAATTAGCTTCTTCGTTCTTAAACAGTCTTCAATACGTCCATCTCGTTCGCAGTTCGTTCAGGTCGCACCACGTCGGTGTGCAACGTTGTAGAACGCGTCCCTTAGTCTAGAAGGTCAACATGACCTGATTACAGAACGGTATGGTCGCCATCGAATTTTGAATCGATTCAAAATTCTAAAATCACATTCCCGTCTGAGAACGTTCATAAAGATCGTAAATAGACCTTAGAAAGTTGCAGCTACGTTCATTCCGTTCGCACACAGTTTCAAACTAGTTTTGAAGAACGCAGTGGCAACTTGTTTGGTGTGATAGCTATATTTTTGCTAACTCGTTCATAAGCAGTGTTAAATACGTTCTTAATCAGTTTAAACCCATTTGCAATTAGTTCTACCTCGTTCTCAACACGTCCTCAGACAGTTCAACTCGTTGTTAAAACGTCCCTAGTTGGATTGAAGTACGACGGTTCCGTTCGTAGTACGTCCAGCTCGTCGTTAGTACGTTGTCACTCGTTCTAATTGTAGAACGTGACGACCACGAGAGCATTTTGAGCATGTTCTAAGTTCTAGAGGGCCTACCCGTTCAAGAACGTTCGATGAAGTTTGTAAATAGACCCCAAACGGTTCTAAGTACGTCCAGTCCGTTCGTACACAGTTGAAGCCCGTTTTCGAGAACGTAGTGAGAACTAGTTTGGTGTGATAGTAGGGTAAGCGGAGAACAAAAGAAATCCCATAAAAAATCTGTATCTTGATTCTATTCACTATAAGGTCCGCAACGTTTCAATGGTATATCTCCATTACATTGGCTCAAAATTTAAATGTCTAAATTAATGGCACAGTGTGGCACATTTGAGGTATGTTCCTTTTAATTGAGCAAGAACTGCACTGAATCCTCTTTTAAATTGGCACTAAAACTTCTATTTTCAGTGACAAAATGAAAATTGCCGAATCAGCAGAATTCAGATCGTCATCTCACTATCAAATTGATTGACAAATGTAGTTTCTATTAATATAAAGGCAAGTGCACTAATGCTGAACATATTTCTTGGAGATTAAAAATGTCAAGTTGCAACCAAAGGTTGAAAATGCGTTTTGCTTTCAGACAATCGTTTGTAGTTGTGGATCTTGAACTCACACTTGTGTAAACATCTTTAATATTACCAACATAAATCTGAGACAATGTTATATGCCACTTTAATGCTAATGTTGATGACTTTCATCTGACCATTGCTCAATGGACTCCTAAATAGGTTCAATCCATTGAACGGCGCTTGGGATCTAACATCTATAATGTCCATTGTATTTCAGCAGCAATATTATTAAGTTACTGATATTGTTCAAGGGGGATTCCTGACCCATAAATGAGGGTTTGCTTCATCACGATACACTTTTTATTACATAACATTATACTGAATCTGTAAATGAATGTTCTTCATTATCGCTAAATAAATGACTTGACTCATAAAAAACCGAAGCACTTGCTACTTGACTTTAATCATACTTAATCTAAAACGTTTAGGACTAATACTTATTCCTCGTTTCATCTGTTAAAATTAGCCTATTATATCGTGAGGCTAAACGCAAGTTTCTAATTCATCTAGATATTCTCTACATGGAACAAACCAAGAACTTAAAGCTTACATATACTATATTTAGTCGAGTAAATCTACAACCATTGCTGAATTTCTACCCTTGTAATGATTCATAGTTCGGCAAACGAGGGTCAAAATAATAACGCCATTTGTCCAAGGGTTTGAATATACCATTTGAAAGGGGAGAGTATAAGGAAAACTCCGCTGTCAAGTCCAAACTGAATCGGAAGAAATCCTGATTTCTAAGGGCATACCCTAGTGTCATATCAAACTACTTTGTTCTTCAAGCTCTTTGTTCTTCAGATCGGTGAAAGGTGTGTTACAAAGGCGAGGAATTAAAACTGTGAATGTATCGATTAACGATGATAATAGGTGACCATGCTAATAACATAGTTTGCAAAATATGCTTATTAAACATAGTGACCCCTTAAAAATAGGTGGCGCTAGGGTAACAAATCAAGTATATCTCATTAAATTTGTGATTCTATGTAATGAAACAAAGTTGACATGTTGTTTAGACTAAATACAGTTTATCTGAATTGGTTAAAGTTTTCAACTCTACCAACAGCCCTTTAAAATTTTTTTTTTTGTGAAATGGGCATTTTACAAGGGGCGCCACCTATACAATGCTGTAAAAAAATTTGCCCACCAGTGCCACTCCGGCACAGTTCTGATTTTGAAAGTAATTAACTTATAGATAAAGAAAATACAAAGATATAGCATACATCCTAGAAGGCAACCAAAAGTTTCAATATGCCATTATTCCGCTGGACTATTAAAAGCAGTAGAAAAGTAAAATATTTTGCCTCCCCATCTTGATTAATAAGTGCAACAATAAAACTGCTTATGACATATTAACGATTGCAGAATTATTATCATTATAAAAATATAATAGTGAAATCAAAGTTATTACTTTTCTCGTCAATATGAGATTACTTAATCTAGTTTCAAATTACTTTAAACAGCAAGACTAAATCTCTAGGTCTGGTGATATTAACTAACGGCATCAAACGAGAATATATAGATATTACAATTTTTCTGTTACAGATACCGTGATGTATGGTTGACACCATGGAATATTTACCTCATTGATGCGAATCAACATTCTGACAAACGTACACACGAGGGTGGCTATGATATTGGACAGCTGAAACCTGTGAACTTAATAAAGAGTACGCAACTGTCAGTTTCAATTAGACGAGGAACTAGTATGTATAAGTACTCACGATGGAATTGACACTCGGATGAATATAGGAAAGATAATCGTGGATAATCTAGAGTGACAATTAATAGAAGAGAGCAAATAATGTTATTAAATACAATGTCATCCTTAATCCTTAGACTGTCAGCAAAATAACATCGTAGATGGAGGTTCTAAATTAAACATTTTTTCTTAATCTACAAAAGGATTTATAGTGTGCTGCTGCATCATGTGATATAGTTACTGAGATTGTTTAACCGTTTTTCTCCATATAACGATTTATGATCACTTTTTAAAAGACACAATAGATAGATTTAGAATAGATCTAATATTACAAACTCATCGAAGTGAGATAATTTCTCACTTAGGTGCCTGCGCACTAATGGAAATACTAGTAGTTTTATTAATGAAGGTGCCCTGGACATGATAACCATTGGATAAGAAATAGTTATAAAATTATGGCGGATCAGCAGGATCTATATGCCTTGATAGGAATACTGACATTTCTGACCATTGTTGGAAGTTTTGGAAATGCGATTGTAATGTACGTTTACTATAAAAAGAATGACAAGATGGCGTCGTCTTTATTTATACTGAGTTTAGCAGTTGTGGACTTCATAACATGCTTTGTGATCATCCCTATGACGATTTTTATGGAGTATGTTGATTTCTATGTTGGATCACATGATATGCTTTGCAAGATCTACATGTTTTTCACCACATCAAATGTTCCGTTTTCTGCTATGGTGATGGTGATCATAGCAGTAGACCGTTATTTCTGTATATGTCATCCATTTATGACTGTACTCACCAAACAACGCGCCAAGATCGTAGTTATGTTTCTTGTGTCTATTGTAATAGCTATTGGGATTACCGTATCTTTGTCGTATGGCGTATATGATGCCCCGGCCGACTCGAACAGAATCTATGATACGAATAATTTTTCTGAAAATGCTTTAGCCAAGAATAACTCAATAAAATACTTTAACCAAACACAAAGTGGTATAGCCAACATTACACAACTACAATGTCACCTTAACAACCAGATTATCAGTAAAGACTTCATTATGAAATTTCAAAAGGGATATTTGTCAATATTCATGGTGTGTGGCTTGTCAGTTATTGTTCTATACAGTTTTATATTAAAAGAGGTCGTCTATAGACGAGCACTGAGGGACAAAAGACATGCAAATACCTTGAAATTACTGCCTGGTCAGAATATTGATGGAAAAATTCAGGAGAACGCTCCTCAAATATGTCAAGACCCCTCAACAGCAAACTGCTCACAAGATGACAAAAAGACGAACGATGATATCTTCAAGAAGGGAACAGGTGTGAATAACAACAGTAATAATTCCAGTTTGCGAAGTAAGGATACAAGTTATAGGAGTAATCAGACAAGCATTGGGGGAAGTCAGAATAATATTGGCAGATCCAACGGAAGCAGAAGACACATTCACAGGGACAGCACTTTCATCGCTAATTTACGGACAGCTGCCATGTTGTTTGTGGTCGCTATGGTATATATCATGAGTTACATACCGACGTGTTTAATGATTCTGAAAATTGTCCCTTATCAGTACGTTGTGTACAATCTTTATTTTATGTACAACGCAGCCAATCCATTAATCTACTCTTTCATGAATCCAATCTTTAGGAATGACCTTAAAAAAATATTCAATTCACTCTTTGGACAGAGGGGGCATAATCACATTTAAAAACCGTAAACAAAGGTGTTGCTGTTGTATCCATTGTCAATAAGTAAATGGGTACTCCTTTATTATCTTTATAAGACTCCAGATTGTAAATTTGCAAATGGGTTTGTCTGTTTTCATCTACTTTTTCTTCGTATTCTTGTGTCCCAGTTTTTTCGTTAAAGGGGGAATCAGATCCAAAGGGATTGACAAAATTGCAAGCAAAATGTACAGCTGACCTACGAATGCATTCCTTACTATCTCAAATATTATTTCTTCCAAATGATATGTTATAAATTGATGAAGTTATCAAGGAGTGACAAAGTGCCAAAATGTGGAAAAAAAATTTACATTCTCCCAAACACAAAAATGATAGCCATAAAAATAGAAAATAATACATTATGTACATATTATTGTAAGAATCTTTAGTTTTCCTCAAATACAGTAAACACTTCGGGTATTTTTTAGAAGATATGACAAGTAATAAATTAAATGAGCCCAAAATATTCTAAAATTGAAACATTTTTTTTGTCAAGAGTTGTCATCAGGATCTCGCTAGATCTGATTTTACATTTTAACTTGAATACTTTACTTTACTTTAGTTAGCTGTTGGGAAATAGGGTCAAACTATCATCAAGGTCAAATGCCAAGAACTAGGTCAAAGCTTACATTTTCAATATTCTGTCAATCATGTTTGTCACTATTCATCGTAATTCATTGATCTTTTTCCACGAAGTAGCTTAGAAACAACCCTTTCATAAGTATGCCATCCGTTGTTCAGGGCTTGCATTAACGGCGTCCCTTACATGTAAGTGACGCAAAAAAGAATTGTAGGACGGAAAAATAAAAAATATTTCCGTTTTTGGGACGGGAAAAAAAATTGAGTCAAAACTTTGAACATTTTTTGAAAATCTTGAAAATCTCAATAGTTGATCATGTTTGACTTCTTTGAGGTGTATATTAAGATCAAAATATGTGAGATTTACAACTTTATTTTGAGTAAAAAAGAAAAAGAATGCAGAAAAACGAACTATTGTAATGGGCGATAATAGGTTATCAGTTTGCATGTGACATATTTTTCTCACTGAAAAGCTGATATAAAACCTTCAAAATGAGTTCAATTGTACAAATGATGCATACTTACCTAGGTGAAGTAGTCTATTTGTGATTATATAACGTCAAAATGGTCTAATTTATGATATAAATCAGAGGATTCTGATCATGTAGAAAATGTAGTGATACACTAAATTACTGAGCGTCAGACAAATTCATACTAAAAAATGTTCTTATTTTTTCAAGCAGTTGTTCAGTTCAAACTGCAAACAGCAAGTATAAAGATAATCACAGTATAATAGTACTTACTATAACAGGCTGGAGGTTACATAACATAAGTGAATTGAATATAAAGAACATGTTTAAATCACAGGGCACGAATGGCAACATTTTGAAAACACATAAGACATGTAAGATCAAGTCATGCACATTCCAAAATAGCCCATTATAGCTAATTTAGCTAATTTAGCTTATATATTGGAGGACACACTTTTTTCAGTCGGGACTCACTTTTTAAAAATTTTCCTTCATTGGGACTCACATTTTTCAGAGCCTAATGCAAGCGCTGTTGTTTGATAACTCTTACCGATTTTGAGATATCAGTATCCGAAAAGTAGGTCGACAAAAAAGTTCTCAAAATTCAATGTTTGAGGTGTAAGGATTCTAAATTTGAAATCAAAATTGAAATCTGACATTCGCTTTAAATTCAGTGACATTTTGAAAATCGGTATGAGGATATACTCCTGTTATATAAAGTCAATGGAACAGACTACAGATAAAAATTTATAAATTGAAAAATACCAGATACAGACAGGATACAAATAAAACTAGATTGGTGAGTTTGAACAAGCTCAATTCAAGACTCCAAATTCAGACTTTTTATTTCAAAAACATTTTCACGGAGCCCATGTCAATCTGCGCGCCTACTTAGGCGCGCAGTTTGTTTCGATCACAAACTGCGTGCCTAACAACATTGCATCATTCAAGTTGAAGTCTGTATTTTGAAACGTAATTTTAAGGCATTTAGACTGCATTGCTTTCTTGTTTAATGCGTTCATTCTGTGGCGAATATATGAATCTCGCAAAAACTATGTGCAAATGAATCTAAGTTTTAAAACATTAAGCAAATTAATGGCATTTTCGTCACCGGGAATTTATACATAAATCGATCTAGCACTTTAAACATATATGAAGAATACTTCAGTCTAGTTTCATATTCAAAATATTTCGAGTTAAATATTAAGTTATTTGGGAGATTAAAATGAAATCAAGCACAAACCGCGCGCCTATTTTAGCCAGACATTACAAACTGTGCATACAATATCTGAACTACATATACGTACTTATCATTGGAATTTCTACAGAGGCATGTGTGGGTGCTTTGGAAATCCTGCTGTATCGTCAGATTTTATGAGATTTGAAAGTCAAAGTTTATAATAGAACTAAGTAACAATTAAGTTGGAAAAAACGTTTACTTCCAGATTGAAATAAGAGTAAGGAGATTCATGAATGGATGGCTCAGTAAACTATTTCTTTTGAGATTTGAGAGGACATTTGATCGAAAGGATATTTTCACAGTATTTTATATTTAGTGTATTCTCGGACGAGTCTCTTGTAAATCTGGAGGCGGTGTCATTATTTGAGGAGCTTTGGGAGAATCACTGGGCATATTATCTTCGTATTTGGCAAGTTTTCTGGCGGACTTCTTCTGGTAAAGGGAGAGGGAGTGTTGCTTACGTTTTCTGAAAATAAAGTTGTTTACTGATTTGAAGTACAATACAGGATATATTCCGTTCAAGAAATTCTGTATTGGAACGAGACGAGGTCGAGTGCCAATACAAAATATCGATAATATCGATAACATCGATATCGATGCACCTCAAATCATTCTATAACGTTTTTATCGTATGATCTTAGGCCAATACATTTTACCTAGGAGATAATCCCTAGAAATATTCTATATTCTCTGTATTGCTACTGAGATTTTCCCCTCTGTACCAATATTTTCTGTATTGCTCCGGAGATGATCAAAGGGAACCATCTCAGTAGCAATACAGCACGAGAACTGACCAATCAGAGGGCTTCATTTTACAGATCATACGATAAAAGATTGGATAGACACGCAGTTTGGAAATATCAGGCACGCAGTTTGGGAATAGAGGAGTTTCTAAATAGCTTTGAAATCTCGCTAATTCTCGTTTTTACATGAGATAATAAGAGATTTGCACTTTTTTCCTCTAATGGATTACTTTTCTTTATTTTTGATAGCTTATTTGGATTCAGTGACAAATTTTCCCCAATTATAGCTTTGATGTAAACAGTTATGTCATTTAAATCATTTTCCATGACATTTTAAAAAAACTTGGGCCAAATCTCCATTGGTGCAATGCTGAAATTCATTAAAACCTTGGTTTATTCGTATGACAACCAATATTTTCATGTTTAATCACAATATGTACATCGTCAGGGTCATCCAATAATATGCCATTCAAATTTCAGACAGATTCAACCAACACTCTTTGATAAATCATGAAATTAAGTGACTGTTGCAAGTTTCTAGCATTGGAGTAAGTGGAGGTCTGGCCCTAGAAAATCATACACAAACAAGGGTGACATCTATTATGTCAGGACTTTTCAGCTATTTAGAAACTGAGAATGAGAATATCAAAATGAGAATATCAAACTTGTAGAATTTCACCAGTGTAGTTATTCATTACTTATATTTACATACAGTGAGTTGTATATATACGTATAACTGATTTAAATACTTGTTTTAACAGCATTTTAATAATGGTTCATTAGTTTGGGTGATATGGGATTTTATTGGACTTTATCAAATTATTAAATGTTTCTATAAATGTAATTTCTTGCTTGTTAAATAAAAATGTGATCCTAGAGATGTGAAGCTGTATTTTTAAACCGTCTCCCTTTATTGTTTAATTTCAATAAAATATGTTGAATACTAAATGTGATCTTTTGTTGTTATAAATTGGGTGTCTTTTCAGAGTAAGGTTATCTACCAACCAAAATAATCATGTCCAGATAATATGAGTCACTCTGACAGTTGGCAATATACGATAACAAATTACACATGACGCGATTCAATATGACACAAAACAATGAATACGGTACAAATACGATGTTCGTTCGTATATATAATTGTGTTTTCTCTTAAATTTTCATTAATCAATACAGGCCCGTAGTCAGTGGGGTCGATAGATTCTAGTGAATCCCTCCTTCGGCCAAACATGCCGTTTTCACCATTCTGAGCACTTTGATTCTGGTCAAATTTGGACCAAAATTGCCCAAACTTTTAAAAGTTGAATTCCCTTGGCAAAAGCTTGCTACGAGCCTGCAATATGCATTGCTCTTTGCAAGAATTTATTGAGCTATTATCTGAAAATTGACATTATATAACTCACAGTCTCTGCTGTCATTCTTCACAAAATCCACCTTAATCTCTCCAGATGAGACATACAAGTATGCCGAACTAATAGATCTTGGCAATTTATGTTGTCAGATAAATTGGCCTGTAATTGCAAATAATCATGAACAGTAAATTAATGTTATTTTTCTTTGATTTGCAATTGTGAGAGATATCAAGATGATTATGGATCAAAGAGTGAGTTTATCTAATCACCGTTTAGGTGAACTCGGGGGCAGGATTGTTCGCCAAGTTATTGCTGAACTGTACCTAACCTGATTAATGTGCGTTCGTAATTCAAATGCATCAATTCTATTTTTTCCTCCGTTCATTTTCTCCCAAGAAAAGTACAAATGCACTTTTTGAAAGATGGATTTATTGAGTATCAATGAATCTTCACAAGATTTATTGAACATCTCAATAGTTAAAACAAATCTTACCTAACCGATGGTTTGTTACTGAATGGCCTGGTCTTGTAAGTGTTCATTTTAAGTCATAAACATGATGAGGCCCGTAGGCATAATTTGCCAAGGGAGTCACTTATTGAAAAATTCAAGGGAGGTTCACATTTGACAATTTTGGATCAAAAATGGCCAAAATCACATAAAAAGTGCTAAGAATGGCGAAACACTGCATGATTTTGAAATAATGTTTTGGCAAGGGGGGGGGGGTAAATATACAGTGCGTCCCAAAAAACGCAACAAACAAATACATTGTAAATGGTAAAATCACAAAACCAGATTTCACCCGATTTTTGATTTAGTTTACCAGAAAGGCACATGTCTCCTCTTTCCGATGGTATGTCAATTATTCATATACGACAACAGGCCACTGAATAATTATTCCTTTTGCACAACATCAGAAATCAGAAACTTGTGTTATGTAAATTTAGTGACAAGAATTTAATCCCCAGTACCAATTACATATAATGATTTACCTGATTGCTCAATAAGGATCAGTTGATTGATATTTCATAACGTTTTTAGGGACGCACTGTATATGGTAAAACTATAACCCCTGAAAAATTCATTGAAATCCATGAACCAATCAAAATGTTGTGAAATTATTATCTTTATTTCCTGAACTCCTGAATGTCCTGTAAAACATGTGTTCTTTGAACCCCGGGGGTTTCCCCTCTTAGGTTTTACAATAACATATTGTCATGGAACTGACATCTATCTTGTCTTATAATCAATATACAGTATTAAAAAATACAATTACACTTTCTCGATCGTCATCTTTATTCGCTCTAACAACCATTATACATGGTCAGGGGCGTGTGTAAATTCAACACTACGCCGAAAAAATCCCACCAAAACTATGAAACAATTGTGTCAAATCTTCTATATACCTATTTTATGCTCGTTAACCGTCATTTTATGGCATTAGAATGCAATGTTTTAATAACCTAAATGTAAACGGAAATGTTTAAGCGATGCATTTGTATGGGCGATTGGTCATACGTATAGGTTGGCGTTTCGATTTTATATGCAAGCTAAAATCCTTGCTGCCCCTTTTTATGTGCTTAAAATGTTCGAATAATTTTCATCATTTAAAATCACCATGGAAAATTAAAAATCATTCTCACATTTCTTATGTCTCGAACGATATAGACGATCAATTTTCAAATAACAATGAGAGATTTTTAATCATTTTCGAATAATGAGATATATATTATTGTCTGATTCCATCGTGTACCGTGCAATACGACACGTACAGATTAAAGAACCTAGCTTGATCAATTGATTTAAAGAAACGCATTCGTGATCAAAGAAACAATTAACCATAATGTCTGTAACCTTTTTTAACACTAATTCGCAAGACCAAATAAACTTCCCACCACAAAGGTCAAATCGAGGTCAACGTGACTTAGGGGGTGCCAAAAATGTTATATTTCCTAAAACAATAATCTATTATCTTTCCAATTAAATAAAAATTTAGGTAATAGCTTTTCTAGAACTGAAATCGATGGAACGCATATTTGAATAATCAACATTTTCAAGTTGTTTTTGTCTTTAACATTCATATTTCATGAAGTACTACCAATAACAATTGGTGATTTAGTAAGAAAATAGATAATTGCTGACTTAACTATAATTTCTGTCTATGATTCTGCCTAGCAACGGAATATAAATCGATATAGTGAAATTGAAAAATTGGGGTAGGGGAGAATAACAAAATATACATCTCATTTAAAGAGGTTCATCATTATAATTTAACGGTACCACATTGCATTACAGAACATGCGCAAAAAAATGCAAAGGTATTCATCAAGTAGTTTTTGTAAAAAAAAGTTTTTTCTCAAATTCGTGAAGAGAACGCGAAATTGTATTTTAGTTTTAAAATCCATAAGATAGTCATTAGTGGCTCGATTATCATGAAATAAAGCATGTTACTTTGCATTTTCTACAGTATTATCCACAAAACATTTCTTTAGGTTAGTGTGCTCGTGATTACTTTTGCACAATACAATGAGAAAATATGAATAAAGAACATAGGAAAATTAATAAGCCTTTTTATTCTCACTTTTCACTGGCGTTTTGGCGTACATTGTTCCTACGCCACTGATGGTGGCCTACAAAACTAACTGTTGTGTCGACATATTTCTATATACAAAAGAATCTATTCAATATGATTGATTTTTGTTATAAAACTATTGGTTCCAATATAACAGTTATACTACATTGTTTCTCATGTCATTGAATAGTGTCTGTATCATTCAACAAATCAACATTCAACAATCTCAATGCCTCAGAGTTTTAACAAAATTTCTTCAGATAGAACAAAAGGCAGCCTTTCTTAAACAATAATGCCAATGTTTTCCGCTTTCGGTGTAATAAAAAATGGATAACGACTGAAACACAACAATGAAATATATATAATGTCTAGATCTACTTCAAATGAGGTTACATATGGAGTTCGAAATGCGATCGGGTGCAGGAGTATATAATAAAGTACTTACCTAAAAATTGGGCAGAAACTTCTTATAAAACAGGTTAAGTTGGTCGGAGGTAAGTGAAAGAAAAACGTTTATTGAAATCGGATCTTTACACATTATCGCATTCTCTATAATGAGCGGACACAGTTTAATGAGTTCACATTCGACTTTTTATGATGAATATTGTCTCAAGAAAACACTGAGCTTATGTTAATTTCGATCATTTACACATGTTAACAATATGTCGATTGATGATTATATTTAATGCAGAGAAAGAAATACAAAAAATTGTATTTGATAACAAATAATTGTCTAATCGACGATTCTGTTGTCTTCTAAACTATTTGTTCGCAATCGTGTAAATTTTCTTAAACATATGATACTGACACACGCGTTTGATAAAATGTTGATCTAGTCCAGACATTTATCATGAATTGGTAAAACTACAAGATAAACAATTCTCAAATGCTGTACTCGCACAACTTCGTAGTACCTATTATATCAATCATAAAAGAAATTAATAACGTTATGATATTGTTATCGTGCAACTTCTAAGGAAACTCAAAAGAACAATCCAGAACACAAGTTTGGCCAACAAAAATTAAGTGGCGCCATTCAAATACGACGGTTTTTACCATCCAATGGGCATACTCACAGAGTGAAAAATGTACCATACAGGGCAGCCATCTAATGAACCACATACAAGCCATCTACCATTTTCTCAGCTTTTAGATAACATTAATTGTAAGATGTCTGAACAAATGATCACTGAGATTTCGCTCCGGAAAAATTTGTTCAGTTCCCCTGGTAGATAAATAAGGGGCAAGACCATTGAGTCAAAGGAGATTAAAATAGAATTCCATAATCACACAACTTTTAAATACCTATATCAATTATGAAATAAACATACAATGTACTTGTTATGCAACTTATAGGAAAACTCAAAATTAAACGGGTTGAACATTCGTACACGCGTATTGTATGTTTTATGTCATATGTTTCATAACAAAACATTTCCGGATGCATTACCTTAGCTGCTTATTTTTTCTTTTGATAGTATACCATCTTCTAGGAAAGGGCCCTTGAAGTGCCCGTTGTATGTCTAATAACACACGTAATAACAGCAATTAACTTTGCAGTGACAAAATAATTATCAACAACCCTAGAGAAAGTGCAATTTTTTACTAGAAAATGATACGGATGAAACAATGATATGAAATAATAAAATCCGCTAACCTATTGTCTCCATTGTTTTATACCAGCTAGGGACAATCCAGATATGATATATAATTACAACAATGGAGGGAACTATTGAGAGGCCTCAGATGATTTAGTCAGCGGACGTATCTGAACCAATTAGATAGAGGTATTTCAAAGCAATGGATCCGATGAGGATGGGATTAACATACACTTTGGATAAAATTCCTGGGGCTCGATTGAGACAGGTGGGGATGTTGTGTCATCGCGTTTCATAAAAATCTTACTTATCTTACTTAGTCATCTGGATTTCTCCCACTTGACGTTAAATTCAAATTTGGAATCATCGTCCATGGCATTAACCGAAGACGAACCATCTGCACTAATAGAATGCATCGGAATTGTACCAAAAACATTGGTGATACCCTTGAAATAATAAAAGAGGTAAGTAGATTATCTCATTATCTCATCACTATCGTGGCTTGCTTAGCTGAACCTTTAATTGATATATAAATGTGATAGATATTGGTTTGTATTATGTCTCAGCTATACAAGTGACAGGATATGAGTACATTTCTATAGAACAGCTAATATCGTCCCCAAGTTTTTAAAATATTTTAGTATAATAACAAAGTGTGTCAAACTATAAGGCACAATAGGCCACGATTGAAAAAAAACTACAATAGGATACATGTGTGTCTTACACCGAACTGGTATATTACTGAGGTACGTTGTACTTAACTCCTCGGTAGCAAGCGATTTTACATGGTTTAATAATGAGAGCAAATGAAAGTTATGATAAGATATCATTCATGATTTATCAATATAATTTGATACACTCTATTCTATAGTAAAGCTTCTGCTATACACTATATAATACACAGCATTGACATATGAGCGTAAATGTATATGGACATATATTGATATTCGGTAGATGTCTAGAAGCAACAAATATGGAAACGATTATCATAATAAATAAATCTCAAAGAGCACGTAAGTTTTATATGTAAACATAAAAACGCCGTATTGCTTAACGTCTAACGTGTTAATGTCAATCTTACTGCTTGTTTCACTTAGCGGGTCGTATATGCTTAAGTTAACCAAAGGGAGGTTTTCTGTGGAGAAAAGTTCATCATTTCAATACAAAGCAAAACACATCATTTAAAAACGATGAATTAGAGAATACTTAGCTAAAGACAGAGTCAGCAAATCATGCAACCCTATCACAAACACGCCAACCATAAAACGACGGTGACATAAACCATGGTCAAAAATATTGATGATGTAAACTTTTTAATCTTGATTAATACTAGAGAACAACATAACAACTTAGGAATCAAATGGATGGCTAACCAGTGCAACGACATAAACTGCTATTTGTGAATATGAGTAGTTCTTGTTAGTAGTCTTGGAATTTAATTTAAAATAAACTGGGTGACCAAATAACGGACAGATGAATTTAATTACCTCAATCAATCTTACCTTGCCTTGAAATATTAAAAAATTATTTCGTTCATCCAATGTGAATTTTAGTTGTGAAAGATTGTTGATAATCTGCCTATTGAGTCAAAACTACGGTTTAAGATTAGTAAGTTTTAGGGTTCTGTCAGTGTACACGTTATGTTTGAGGAATCAACACAGATAACAAATTCAAGATCGAGATCTGGTGAATTAAATTGTCCATTCAAAGATCTTTAATATGTTTAATGTTTGAGGCATGTTTCGTAAAGTACCATACCTTTTGAATCAATAAGCAGATTATCATAAAACTTTCACTACAAAATTCACTTTGAATGAACTAAATAATTCTGACATTTAAGGCAAAAATGCAAGATTGACCAAGGTAATCAACTTTCATTCGGTCCCGTTTTTTTAAAACTCGTATAATTGGAGGATATTTTTAACCACATTGCCTTGGGAATCCTCATACTCAAAACTACAAACTACACAAACTAGTTCAAATTAGTTTTAAATATGCCAAACGTTTAATCTGTATTTAAAAAATCTCCCCAGCCCTTAATGATATTTCAAAAACAAAACACTTCGCGTAGATGATAACAGCCCTCTAAAATTCAATAAAAAAGATTTATGCTTCTCTAATAGGTTCACAATTAATATGAATGAGAGATACGATAACGTATGTATTTTAAAAACTGCTCCGACAAGATGTCGTATAATTACATCCGATTCTGTTGTAAAGAAGGTGTAGATGCCAACAAGGTCAATTGAGCCAATTTAAAAGAATACATTTCGAGTAATGTTGACCATAATGTAGTGGCACAACTGTAGAACAATGAGCTCATTCATAAACAGATACCTGGCTTAGTGGTTATTGTTACTTCAATTAATTAAAACTGCAGTGCAACAATTAGAAAGATTTTAACACAATTCCCGAAACAAGCGTCGAACAGAATTACCTTTTTATGAAGGTTTGCTACATGCAAGTCCTCTAATACACCGATCGTCGGAGAATTCTTAATTTAAGTATACGACTTGTTTTCCAAAAAATATCTTATTAAAGGGGCAACAAAGCCTGTAGAGAGAAAATTCCCCAAATCTTCCAAGACATATCTATTTTAAATGTATGGATAAACTATCTATTTCAGCATTAAGAAGTGTAAATTCAGTTCAACGCTTCTATAAGGGGAGCCCCACTTCTAGATTTTTAAGATCTACCACGTTTCAAGAGGAATATCAGCTGAAATAATGTTCATCCAATGGGTTTCTTTGGAGATAATAAACACGTTCACCCCTAGGTCAAGCTGACCTCCATTTGACCGTTGCTTACCTACTTCTTAAAAAACAATACATTTCTGAAGAGGTTATTGAATAAGATTAACAACAATTCAAATATTAGTGAAATCAAACTAGAAATAATAAAAATCACTCCTCCCCCTCACAGGCTGGTATCGAAAAAATTGTCCGCTGTGACGGAGCGTGCTATTTTGCATAGAAACACTAGGAAATCCATACAATTTATTTTTCTACTCATATGTTTTGCTATATCAAAGAAAATTACTGACTCCATGCAATGAATATATCATTTACGGGTAACTTTAACTTCTGTTTGAAGTCCAACAACGCTAAGAGTAAAAGCTATTGAAAACGGCGTCGGAGTATCATACTCCAAAATGTACCATTTCTTTTATTTCTTTTTAATGGTACAATATAGCGACACGATAATATTTACATATGTTTTCAGCATAACTCTGAAGGTATTAATGAGATCTTTATGTATTGGGTATTTTTAACTTTTTTTATAAAAAATAATGTTTAAATTTTTTGTCCGCTGTGACGGAGCAGTTTCAAAACTGGAATACGTTAAGAATTTAGATTTATAATGTATCTCTTTATAACTACACGTTAGAGGAATAACTACACGTTAGAGGGAGCGTATCAAATCTCTTTCGTAAAGTATTCTGAAAATAAAACGGAATAAAAGTACACAATTAAAATTCTGAGAGGTATATACGACCACTCTTTAAGCTTCTTTTCTCAGTTTGTACTGTAATCCAAGTTATGCATGGTAACTCATGAAAATGATAGTCAACTTCATTTCAGTATAGGGTGTTTGCCTTTCGTATTGCCTTCTGTGGATCCATCACCTGACATGGTCATTTTTTATGGTAACTTATATACAGTAATAGTATGTGGTAAAAGGTTATACATCTGTCGGAATGCAGGATGTCTGTGCGCTATTTCGAATAAATTCATATTATCCCTATTTCTGTTACGCGGTAAACACGATACAAAAATATGCCATTTTCCGCAACGAATATGCCATATTCACTTGCGGTGTATGACAGATTCACCTGCGGTATATGGCATACACACTAACCAATGAGAACGTGAAACGGAAGAATGCAATTGTCAATTGCATCGATTGAACGAACAAGTAAAACTTTATAAATTATTATAATGATTACTGAATCAACAGTACAGTTTATCGAATACATCAACGTATGCAGAAGTATCACTCACCAATCTCACGTAATAAACTTACCCAATCAACCCAGGATTCATATATTAGTACTCGACGCACTGACAGTAATGGTAATCCAGCGTAGTTTTACATTCAGAGTCGATTCTCGCAACCAATCAAACCAAGTCTTTCTGTATCACGTTTTCATCTGCGGTATATGTCATATTCACCTGCGGTATATGGCATATTCCGCAAGTGAGTATGACATATTCTGAAGGTGAGTATCGGGTTTTCACTGAATTCAATGCATCACATATTCACTGCGGAATTTCGCATACTCACCTGCGGAATATGCCATATACCGCAGGTGAGTATGGCATTTTCACCCGTATCACAAATACCGCGCAACCATGAATGTATGACATATTCCGCGTAACAATTTACACTACACGTGATATTCTAAGACGTCTTGGCGAAACGTATTAGAAATATTATGTTGAGTTTACACCATGTTGATTCATGTTGATTCATGTTGATTTCAGTACAAACCTCCGAAAAATGCTAAGAGTGGTCGTTTTTATATCTCAGATTTACATTACTCCAGATCTCTCAGAGGCTACTTCTCATAATTTAGGAAAGTGATTTGTGACGTTCTCTCTTCTAAGGGTACTTTTAAAAGGTATAATTTGAATCTTAAATTCATAACGTAGTTCACAGTTAAAACTGCTCCGTCACAGCTGACAAAAAATTTAAACATTATTTTTTATAAAAAATATTAAAAATACCCAATACATCAAGATATCATTAATACCTTCAGAGTTATGCTGAAAACATATGTAAATATTATCGTGTCACTATATTGTACCATTAAAAAGAAATAAAAGAAATGGTACATTTTGGAGTATGATACTCCGACGCCGTTTTCAATAGCTTTTACTCTTAGCGTTGTTGGACTTCAAACAAAAGTTAAAGTTACCCGCAAATGATATACCCATTGCATGGAGTGAGAAACTTTCTTTGGTATAGCGAAACATATGAGTAAAAAAATAAATTGTGTGGGTTTCTTAGTGTTTCTATGCAAAATAGTACGCTCCGTCACAGCGGACAAATATTTCGATACCAGCCTGTGCCCCTCCCCCTTCGACTTTTGCTATTAACGTTGCGTTGCAGACATTAGGGTTAAACAGTCCTAAAACGTTAAATGACAAAGTGATAATATACGAAATTTACTATAATTGACTTCATTTGAAGGATAATTCCTCAAAATGCATCATATACTAGTACGTATAACAGATGTGCAAAATATATAAAAAAAGTGTATCTTATATAACGGTTGTGAAAAAGAAATTTACACCCCAAAGTATGTGTATGATATAAAACGTTTATGAAAAAAATCATTATACGCCTACCCTAATATTTAAGGGGGTTAAACTTTAAATCTGAGCTCTGATTGACACAATACATAATCTTCTAAGAAATAAAATGGAAATAAAAAAGTTAGGATAATCTGAGTCTAACGTGAACAATATAATGCCAACAAGGTTAGGGCTACATAACACAGTAAATATATTATTTAATAGGCCTTAGCTTGATTCAGATACTAGTACATCGTCTAAAATGGTCATCAAAAGAAAACATTGAGGTTTTGTTATCATTGCTGTTTAGCACGGCCCCAATCCCCAATACTTTGCACTACATGAAACATGGATTATGATTTTATGCCTGAATGCCAAGTTAACATCCGAACAGACGAATATTTACTCATGAATTTGGCAACATTAAATTGTATATCATAAAGAGGTACACGTGTTTGGATAAAATCAATTAATTGAGAGATCTAGAATACACAAGTAAGTTGAAAAAGGAAATAAAGACTAATCTAACATTATAAACATGGGAATGACTAACAATTTTTTTAATTCAAAAGGATGACCCTGAAATTTTGCTAAATATGTCTGGTAAACACTAATTAAATTATAAGTTATCTGAGACTACAAACCAGTTTGATTGCACTGACGTAACAAAGTATTGGGTATCCAAGGCAGAATTAGAAATCTGCATTTATTTAGACGTTTCTTCAACTAAAACTGTAGAAATGAAATCTTAATGTAGTATTTTACCTCATTTAGCCTTTGTCTAACCTATTTACATTATTGCTTCTTCTTTTTTAACCTGGCTACGCCTTGCTTAAAGTGAATATATAAATGAGTTAAAATTTTGCTTATGGACTTAGAATCTTAGGTAGATGGTACATGTATGTTTGCATATTGAAAGCATGCGAAAACGCGTCATTAGAACTTAAACCTGCTTGCAAGTTGTTTGTGAATCAATATTTCGGCTGATGTTTCATAAGTATGGTATCAGATTATTTAAACCAGATTCATATGATCATGTCTATCTTAGATCTTTTCAATGTTAAATTCAAAATAAGGGGTACTTGTTATATATGCTTCTGTATTTACTATTTTATAAATACGGGAACAAACATTTCAAGTAATGTTCAATACCTTTATAGTTGGACAACTTTGCTACTGGGCACATATTCACAAGCACATTACTGTTTAAGCAATGATATTTTGTTGAAATTACAGTTTCGACGTATGATAGCACACGAAGAAATAATTATTAAGAAACATCATAAATATGACGTCTTAAAATAGTAGTCCCACCCAACGTAAGGTTTCGGGTTCAGTTGTATGTATTTCTTAATATGATAATTATTACATCCAATTTCAGAAGGTGACAAAACAAAATGAGAAAGCCCCTGTAACCATTTCATTATATCTGCGAAGAATATAACTAGCACACGGGTCTTTCACGAGACGTCCAATTGACCAGTTAAGAGGAAGAATGGCTGAATTTCTTTGATTGACAAATACACAGCAACTTAAATCCATATAGAACAAACGTGTATACAAAGACAATTGGACAAATGATGTCATATCCAGGTAGCAAGTATAAGGCCTCTCTTAAAGATGAACCGACCAATGGAGAGGTTGAACTATTGAAGATGAACTCTGAACCATCGAATGATCAAAATATGAACTGTGATCCAGAAAAGGTCCCATTTGAAACAAAACAAAATGGAAAAACGTTAATGGTGAATTACGTTGACAGAACAACTTGCAGGAGAAGACGAACGAGTTTAGAGAAATATCTTATTGTTTTGTGTCTCATATTCCTCTGTGCATTTGTAACATTTCTTGTTCTAGCCCTCACAAAAGACGCATCTTTACACCAAGGTAAGCAACACATAAATGTTTGTGATTATTAAATGAGTAAAGATATAAATATCATCACTGTGACATAACGGAATATAGTCTAAACGCACTTTAACGAGATTATTTAGCTAATCATTTATTGCTGAACAAATGAATGAAAATTAAAACTAATATGATAAGTAGGGTAGTATAATCTTATTTTTATGTAGGTTTATCTAGTCAACTGATCCAATCAGCCGCCAACACTAAATCCAAAACTCAGCCATGTTTGACAAAATACTGTGTACAAACAGGTAAGTTTAAAACCCCTAAAACAAATATAAGTAGAAGTTACGAATGAATTCTGAGGTCTCTTATTTTCCCAAGACGATTGGAACGAAATATCACATTACTTTAACGATAAAATGTCATTTATATGTTCAACTGTATTTTTATAGCAAACTTCTTTTATTTCACGAAGTAACATCTTGATGTCACTCATGCTGCATAATTTTGAATTTTAATCAAACAAACGTTTCACGTGAGTCTTTTAAAAAAGCACAAACATCCTATATACAAATATCGTTTGACAATCTTTGTTAAAAAAATGTTTACCTCATTTTCAAGTATCCTTGGTTTCAAGAAAATATTTTTTAAAGCTAGATTTTATCACAAAACTAATCGATACGGTTTAAACACTTTTTTCTCTTAAACCAATTATTGAAAACATTCTGACTGATTGACAACAATTTAATGCAAAACTTAAATACTTTTTTGTTTTTTAGTACAATTGTTTTTGTTCCTTTCTACCAATTCTTGAGAATAAAATAAAATGTCTTTCCGAACCTTGTTGGAACAAAATAGCATATACAACATTTTCTCAGACGTCTCAGTAATATAGTTATACAAAGGACATTTTGGTTGGTTTCACAAAAAGTATTCAAAAATTTAAAACAACCCCCCCTCCCCAAATAGATAATAAATATTACGATAAATCTTTTATTTCATTAACAAGATACTTTTTTTAAATCAACCAAAATTTCCTTTGGACAATTTCAAAATTGAGAGAGCTAAACAAGTTGTGTTTATGTCGTTTCGTTCCAATGAGGTTCGGAAAGATGTTTCATTTCATTCCGAACACATGATACCAAGAACAAAAGAAGTGTCTGATGTGTTTTCTAAAACAATATAGGGAAAAGTATATATAAATTTTTCAAATTATATTGTTACCATTCAAAAGATGATCATTAAATTGACGATGTGTAAATTTTTTAGAATTTTTTGATGACTGGTTTAAGAGAAACGTTTAAGAGAAAAGTTCAATTTTCATTGGCCCACCCTGTATATGTGGCCCTAAAATAACTAAATAATATGTAGGCATAAGAGCAATGATTGTTGTTAAAATCGTTCCTTTTCATAAATATACCATATCAACAAACATATAATGCTTTCTTGGTTTTAGCTGCGTTTATGTCTAACAAGATGGACACGAATGTAGATCCGTGTGACGACTTTTTCAACTATGCATGCGGCACATGGAACCGGAAGCATGTCATACCAGAGGACAAATCTAGCTACAACACAATTGTAGAACTACATGACAGTTTGCAAATTACTTTAAAAGGTTTGTTTATTAGTATTAGTAAACGATGCAGATTTCGCACTACACTTTTAACAGTACATGTGTAGTTAAGTCTAAACCAAATAGCTAATTGTTGTTACACTATCATAGCAAGTCAATTTTCATACAAATACAGATTATAATGAGTAAATGATGGTCTAGTCATGTACAATCACATGTGTTGTGTAAAAACATTTGATTGTTACCTAAGAAAAGTGTGATTACTTTATTGTAAAAATATGTCTCTTTTTATTATTTTCTGAGAGATGCCAGATAATGTTTATTCATAACAATAACCTAACTTTGGTAATGTGATAACACAAAAAAAACTGTCGTAAATGCAATTTTCAGCACTATTGGAAGAGCCGAGGTTAGAATTGGATAGTAGAGCAACTCTTCTTGCTAAAACGTTGTACAAATCGTGTGTGAATACAAGTGAGTAAAACCTTAAGTTCTTTTTAGTCATCTTGACGGTTTTCAAATGTTGCCTCTCCTGTTCCAAGTTTGTTCGGTTATTTTAGACATGCTAATTAAATCTTAATGGACATTATTTATATACGAATATTTGAACGTATGTGAAGCTCCAAGTATTCTTGGCTACCCATCTATTCTGACTCTTGCCGAAGTATTCTGACCTGACCCAAGTATTCTGAGTTGACTTATTTTTTCGAATACACTCGATAGATGTCCATGTTAGTTTTTTAATCATTTTGTGGTTGGATTTATTTTATTTAAAAGGTGGCTCCTGTTATTCTGGTAGAGTTTTATATTTTTACTTCATTATGTTATACGTTACGTTTAGTCATATTACGGCTTTCACCACTGGTTGGTATTTTTACTTTTATATAAGTAATTTCAGGTTCCGACTTCCATATGTTTTTATAAAAGGCAGTTTCCTATCATATATAATGGTCACTATGAATAAAAAATCTTATTAATCGTGGATTGTTACAATAACATTTTAAAGGTAGGTGTGTGATGTTGTTCTTTGTGCATTAACCAGAATTTTATTGGGAATTCTTTTTCTTTACTATGACTGATTCTTATCAATAATTGCTAAAACTAAATCACCAATAAATTGATAAGCTATCTCGTAATGTGAGTCATGCAATTAAATTAAATTATTCATTTATATTTATTTGCACGAATAAATTTGGTCTAAAGTTACGTAAAAAGTAAAAAACGCACAGAAGATATACAGTGGCTGTAAACGATATATACGTATCAGGGACGGATCTGAAAATCAAGAGAATGAGGTCCCAAATCTGAAAATTTGAGCCCATTTTTATAAACAAGGGAAAAATTGTAAATGATGCACATTGAAAACGATGCACAGTAATGTCAGTTTGTTGCCTAAATTGCCCAATATATGTGGAGAAGCAGATTCCGGGACATCACTTTTTGCCCCCCCCCCCAATGTTAGCCATTACATTTCCGTGCGATTGCTTAAATCAATGATATCCAACGTTTTACATAGCGAGGTTATAAGCGGTTTCCTAACATTAATCTCAGGAGCCATCTATTGTGTATAATAGAATCCATCGATGAAATATAAAAAAAACTAACGTGGACATCTATCGAGTGCATTCAAAAAAATAAGTCAACTCAGAATACTTGGGCCAGGTCAGAATACTTCGGCAAGAGTCAGAATAGATGGGTAGCCAAGAATACTTGGGCTTTGACAAACGTACATGAAGCTCCAAGTGCTCTTGCTAGCCATGTATTCCGACTCTTGCCGAAGTATTCTGACCTGACCAAGGGGTTCTTGGTTTACTCATTTACTCAAATACACTCGAGTATAGATTGATTTTCAATTCAATTTTATGTTTTTCCAGAGATGACTGTGGAAATTAAGTGAATTAAACCATTTATATTGATAGCAATATGCAGCTTGGCTGATCCAGGGGGGGGGGCTCCTTTAATGGGCCCAGAAAAAGGTTTTTGAGCACAAAATATTTTCCAGACTCAACATTTAGTTAGGCCCCTCTCCTTATTAATTTCTGGATCCGTCACCAATATGTTACTGCCTCGTGCACAAATATAGTTTATTTATATAATTTAACGGGGTAGCCCATCGTTGGGGAATGTGATATGTGGGTGTACGATTTGAGCACCCTTGGAACACTCCAGAGCAATATAATATTGGAATAGACTGGGTCTCAATTTCAGGAATTCGCGTCATTTTCGGAAAATGTTTCTGACATGAGCCTCAATTTTGAAAAATAGGTCCATATTTTAAAAATTTGGATCCATTTCCAAAAAAGTCCAGCATTTTGGGGGCCAACGTTATTCGTACCCTCTCTTGTGAATTTTCAGACTAGATTTAAATACCATAAGTGAATTCAGAATGTATGGGCAAGAGTCAGAACACTTGGGTAGCCCAAAATAGCAGGGTTTCCACGAACGTATTGATCAATTGTCTCATAAGTTTAAGATTATGGCTTCACCAAAGTAAAAAATAAACAAAAAGTAACTCATATAGCTTGGTAACGAAAGTTTTGTACGTGCAGGTCTTATAGAAGATGCGGGAGATGCTCCTTTGAGGAGCCTACTGAAAGAATTGGGAGGTTGGCCACTAACATTGAACCAATGGGACGAATCACAGTTTAGTCTTGAGAAACTCCTGGGTAAACTTAGAGGAACGTACAACGCGCCTGTGTTAATTGATCAATGGGTATCACCGGATGACAAGAATTCATCACGATATATCATTCAGGTATATAACTGTATCTGTATCACTTGGACATGTGAATATGTTACCAGCTATTGAGTTTTGTCTTTCTAGACCTTGGCTTCAATCAAGTACTGTGCCATATCTTCTAGACCTAGAACATATACATATGAGCAATGTCTTCTATAAAGTTATCTGATTCATTGCATGACAATAAAATGAAATGATCAAATTGTGTCGTACGCACGTAGAAAATTGCATAATTAGCTACTATATTTATTAAACACAGCTTGACCAGGCTGGGCTTGGAATGCCTAGTAGAGAATACTTCCTCTCGAGTAAGCACGAGCGTCAAAAAGCAGCATATGTGAAACTACTGAAAGCTGTTTCTAGACTATTAGGGGCATCTCGGGATGTAGACAAACAGATAGAAGACATATTACACTTCGAAACTAAAGTAGCAAATGTAAGTGTTGGCTCGTCAAGGGACCTTATCATATGATTATTCATTTTAAATTAAGTTTTATTGATATTAGTAACATTTCGCATTCGATCGAAACATGCTACAGTAAGTGTACAAATAACATTATAAAGCATTGCCTTCAATGTTCTTTCCATTTTCCAGCTCAAATTTTTATTAGATGTGATATAAACCATTTCACGGGAGGTCATTCAACAACTGCCTACGGAGAAACACATGTACGAGTAGAAACACCTCTCTAGTCTGAACCCAATACGAACGGCTGAACGCCTTTTAGTTTTCATTTTTAATCGACCTTGATAATGTGAACAACGGACAATCCAAACACTTTTAACCGGCCCAAGTGGCGTTCAGATTAGACAGGTTTTATTGTGTACTTATGTAGATGTGCAAAATGACATAATGTGATATGAGGTAAACATGTTTTAAGCAATACTCATTATTATTATTACGTGTTCATTATCCGTCTGTTATAGATGACAGTCCCATTACACATGAGACAGGATACTGGAGAAATGTACAACAAGATGTCCCTGATCAAATTGAGCCAGAAAATGCCGAAGGTATACAGCTTCATATTTTAAGAAATAAACTGATATTTCAAATATTTCTAAATTATTCTATGAATCCAATCTGTCGTATATCTGGTATTCAATCATGTATTTCACCCTGTTCAATCTAGTAGAATCACCATTTTGTTTTTCTTTCAGTTTGACTGGCTACTGTACATAAACTCAATGATGCCATACCCACTTACCGAAGAAGAAGAAGTTGTTGTGTACGCCCCCTCGTACCTATCTGACCTTGTAGCGCTAATAAACATCACACCAAGAAGGTACTTTATTTTGTCCTTTTCCTCGGTCCTCAAAGTAACAAGCTGTCCTTTGTGTCAAAATTGATATTCTAAAACTTAAAAGAACAGAAAATATTCTATATGCTATTACAAGTATACGTTGTCAATATTAGTTCTCATTATTTTAGAACTGTAGCGAACTATGTAATGTGGCGAACTGCCATGGGGCTGATACCAGAGATGACAGAAAAATACAGATCAGAGATCAGGGAATATAGTAAAGTCCTCCAGGTACTTATAATTATGTCGTTGCACAAAAACAAACTAGAATTATTATCTCAAAACAAACAGCATTGGCATTATGTGTCACCGCGCACCAAAGGGCAAACTACTGTCTCGAACCAATCCCAACTCGTGACGTGTCATGTTATAGCACTTTCATACTTATATGACTTGATTTTGTTATTCACTCGCGTTTTTTCCTTCACAGGGTTAAAATGCATATAGGTTATTTACGGGCAGGAATTCAATATGGGTTTTATTCCGCGGAACGGTATTATAAAGCAAAAAATCATATTGTCACGATGAATATCTCCATGTTTAATCCCGACCAGTAAGTAAGCTTTTATCCCATGATATTCATGACTCTCTTCGTAAAATGATTCGTTCAAAATCCGTATCTGATTTTTGTATCAAACAAAACCAGAATTTATACTTAGTCTACAAATTATGACTTAGCTTTGTGACATTTTGAAATATCATGATATAGTGTATAACATTAAACAAATCAACATCAAAAAATACGTATACATGCCCATTACAGGGTATTATGCACATTGTCCAGATTTCTATGACGTTGACTGTGTGCCAGAGCATGATGATAGGCGAATTGAAATCTTCATACTTCTTACGTTTCAAAATCTCTATTTTCAATTTTGTTTGGAAAATATATATCGTTTTTCACATAAGAACATCATTATAACACGCTATATCGGCCCAATTGAACGTAATTGGAAATTTTGTTTGGCAAAACTTTCCCTGGGGTGAATACCATTTTCATGAGCGGGATTGGTCGGGACAATACGATTTTTTTTCAATATCAAAAATATTCCAGGGTGTAATTCATCGGGAAGTAGTAGTATCATGGGATAGATATGTTTATTGCATTCTTATTCAGTCTAACCGATTTCGATTCTTCTTTATGTCAATCGTCACTTCCATTATTTCATGAATTCATGGAATCAAACAGATTTTAGGACTATCCACATTATAGCGCTTCAAACGTGTGCGCGATCCACATTATGACGCTTTCAGATTCGTGAACCATCAAATAGTCTCACAAAGGATCATCCAAAATCAAGGTGCTCTCAAAACACGGCACCGTTCACAATATGGGACAATCGCTGTTTTGATCCTGTTCCCGAGCATAAATAGGAGTTTGAAGAAATTAATAATCGTATAAACATACCTAGGAGTTGAAAACTACACGTATATCGATGATATGTTTAGTATATGTGTATATTTTCTATAGGGTGTGACCAAAGAAAAGGTGCGCTGGAAAAAATGTGTGGAGTACTGTAATGAGCAGATGGGTACAGCAGTGGGAGCAATGTTTGTCCGAGAGAATTTCCAGAAAGATAGCAAAGAAGATGTAAGCATTGCCCTAAACCAAACTGCACACCATGGAATATTTTGATTTTTCTCTCATGTCAAAAAATATATTAGGTCCTATGGATCAAGATTTCAATAACTTGATCTTAACATTGTAATCATCACTTCCGTTAAACCTTCTTAATTTGGTTTTACGCTCACATATAACATTTAAAGTGTCACAGCACAGTTAAGAGCTTGACTGATTTATGTTTTGATGGAGTGAAAATGCCACTTACAATTTTAGGCATTGGAGATGATCCATAACATACGAGAGGCTTTCAACAAGATGTTGATGGACAATACCTGGATGGACGAGGACACTAAACGTGTCGCAAAAGAAAAGGCAGATGCCATCAACGAACGGATAGGCTACCCTGATTATATCACGGACAAAGATGCGTTGGACGCTAAGTTCAAAGGGGTATTTAACAACTGTTTTATATAATTGATCGCTGTATATACAATAATAAATATATTTTACTTTGAGAAACATGTTAGAGACAGAATCATATGTTCACCATTAGGCCCGTAGGAATCTATCTCCAGTCATTTTTGAACGGTATATGACGTTGTATTTCTTTAAAATATCTGCAAAGATTATAATTTTGTCATCTCATATCCCTCCAAGCTAGCTTTTATAAGTTAACCAGTAACCATGTTAAAATATTTTTGCAGTTATCATTCCGTGAGGATTCTTTCTTCAACAGCACACTGCAGCTGGCACAGTTCAAAATCAGATACAACTTGATGAAACTCAATGAAACCGTATCCGACAAGTGGGTGGTTGAGTATATAAAACGTATACTGTATGCAAGTCGTTATATATAAATGAGTCACATACATGCTGTAATTCACAGTTTCTTATGAATATAATTCACAGAAAACATTTTCAAATGTATATTTTGTAACCGAATTGATTTGATTGAACATTCTGTATGTAGATGGGAACAAGCCCCAGCAGTAGTGAACGCTTTCTACAACCCAAGCACCAATGATATAATGTTCCCAGCTGGAATTCTTCAACCGATGTTCTACAGCAAGAACTATCCAAAGTAAATTGCATCATATGAAATTAAAATTATCATAATTTCTATCATCAGCTTCAATTAGGACTGATTCTGAATGGCTTTCACAAGAACAGTTTGCTTTCCTATGTTAACATGTTGTATTGTTTGTAAGGCCCGATATAGATTATTTTATATTTTATTTTCAAACTTCGCACGGGCCTTTTAAAAAGATGAATCAGGTGGCTTCCGTGAAACAATAGTCTTAAAATTGTCGTGTCATATCGCTTATTGGCAATTCGATCCAGGGTTTACAACAATGGAATTCAATAAATGTCAAGAAGTCAAACCGTTAATTCAAAAAATGTTTTTAGATCTCTAAACTATGGAGGAATTGGCGTTGTGATTGGCCATGAAATAACACATGGGTTTGATGATAAAGGTAAACATTTAAAAGATGCTTTAATAACCTCAGTTGCTCTTTTCCGATCTTGTCTATGAAGTCTTCTCTACATGTTTGAGCCAAACGATGACATGGATCAATCTAAAACTCCCAGGGTTGTTTGGTACAAAAGTCTACAAATTCATAGTCTCTGGACATTCTGCGTAATTTCATGTGGCGATTTTGGACTTTTTGTCCAGAAAACGACAACACAATGCCATGTGAGTCAAGAACCCTCGGTACCATTCTTAACTTTATGAAATTCCTGTTGATGAATCCCCGACTCTTTATCAGAAGACCATAAAATAATGGGAAATTTACACTTTAAATGCAAATCATGTTCTATTATAATATTATGCCATGTATCATTATTATCATGTATTATTCACGCGTTATCCAACAACAAATTGATGTACAATTAAACCAAGCTGCAACCCCCTATATCTATACGACTCACTTGGCAGGTTGGTGGTGATAAAAATGAGAATAGTTTCAACACCTACTCATATTCTAGTAGTGTATGATCTTTAGATAAGATAAGAAAAACACCGACTTGTAGGCTTATGTAGCCTTTTGAATGTGTGGGTGTGTGTTTGGTATACACACTTTTAAAGATTTGAGAGTTGTGTTTTAGGGCGCCAATATGACAAAAACGGCAACTTGCAGCAATGGTGGAAAAATGAGACGATTCGGGCTTTTCGCGAAAGGGCCAAGTGTATGATAGACCAGTACAATGAATATAAATTAGATCAGATTGGAATGAATGTAAGTCATTAACCATAATCAGGTTAATATAAAACATAAATGTAACATGATAAAATTTCAAAACTGTTGTAAACATGCTATAAATAACTGGATTGGCGATGCCATTTCGTTAATCACTGCATCGGGCATTCTTAGTTTCTGAAAGGAAGAATCAGATCTAGAGGGGGTGACACGTAAAATCGACCTTCCAATCAATTCTCTGTAAAAGTGCAAAAATGGGTAGACATAAAAATAGAAAAATAATACATTATTGTAAAAATCTTGATTTTTCCTGGAACAAAGTTTGGATTTTAAAAAATAGACATGACAAGGAATTGTATGAGGCAAAACTATTCTAAAATTGATACAATTTTTGTTTAGCTTCCTCGCTTGATCTGATTCTTTCTTGAATGGACGTCTACGTCGTTTGCTAAGAAATGCAAAATTTGAAAAAGATCTATGGAACGTTACTAAAATTATAGTTACTACGGTAATGATTGACTGGAAACTGACAGTAACTCAATTACGAATAACATGCATGTTCACAGAAAAGTTGCACGTGTACTGTGTTGTCTATGTTTCTCTTCCAGTGTTTCATGACAACGTTTTTAAAATTAATTTCTGAACGTATATCATGAGAGAATGTGACCAAACCGGTTGGTGCAGTCTTAACAAGTGCGAATACCAGTCCACTAACCTTTGAAACACCCTGTTCAAATTACATTTTAACTGAAGTAAAATTTGGTAGAAACCCATTGTTATAAAATGTATAAAGTCAGAACGTTAACGACAGAATGCAAGGGAAAATATATTGACACTATAATTCCGTAGAAAAAATGGCGATAAGCAAAAAGGTTACATTATGTTATATCATTGTAGATAAATGGCAAGATCACACAAGGAGAAAACATTGCAGACAACGGAGGACTAAAGGAAGCGTTTCTAGTAAATATGAACTCTTGGTTTGGTCTTTAAACCATATTTGGATAAATAATATGATATAAAATGCATATATGCGTTTGTCTGTGGGCGTTAATGCGTTGTATGTAACTACCAGTGATGTACTTCCGCATTGTGTATTTTTAAGTTTTTATTCTAAATACTGTATTGCAAAGATGTTTAATTATTAACTCGCTTACGTCAACAGTGTAATTATTGCATGCCTCATGTTACGAATGCTTTACCCACAGTTAATGAACTCTGCTTTACATCACAATGATGTCATTTTAGGCCTATAGAATGTGGGTGGACAGGAATGGTGAAGAACAACTACTACCAGGCATAAACCTTACACATAATCAGCTCTTCTTTCTCAACTATGCTCAAGTAAGACTAAAACACATTCATTTTTAAGAGAATTTAATCTTAACTAGAACTAACAATTACATGTAAACAGATTTTAAAGTGCCTACAGTTGAGTTGACCCTAGGTAAGGTTAAGTTAACCTTGAGATGGCCTTGAGGATGGAGTTGATCTGAGGTTAAACCCTTTGACTTTAGGTGGGTTGGGTTGGAATTGAGATGAACTGGGGTCAGTATGAAATGAGAGTTGATTGAAATTGGTTTAATTTGAATGTAATTCGAATGTAAAGTAAACTTTAGATTGATCCAAATATGACAGATATAAAAACAATCTTGAGTCGGTGAGCTGACGTTGAAGTAAACACAACCGTTACAACGTTGATATCACATTTTGCTGAGACGACGTTAGGTTTGGTTGACAAAGATTTGACTCGACAAAACTATAAAAGCCAGGTCAGGTAGAGGTAGAGGAAATAATTGACTTTAAGTTTGCAGAACTGGGATGGAACACAAGTTAAATCGTTTACTTCTGGAGCTAGTATGGATGACAAAACGTCAAATAGAAAGGGAGTTCATTTGAAAAACGAAATTTTGGGATATCCATTTAAAACACGATCGAGTACAGGGTCCCACAAACATTCATCAGGCAACTCTGATGAACCCTTTGACACCCTGTACATGTTCATTGCTCGCGCAAGCTGATGCGAACGTCGTTAATCTGCTTGAAATTCCTACGCTGCCCCTCGTGCTTAATCAGTTTTGGCTTCTTATATTCTTCGTCGCCTAACAACTTACAATGGCGGCTGTTTTAACTGTTCTCAAGCTCCCTTGCACACGATAGCCTAAATGCTACTTGTATACTGTTGATGCATTCAAGAGTTCAGATTCCACGGTTACAATCACTCACTACAAAATGGATTTTTTGGGTCACCCTGTAATTAGCTTCACACAAGGTATCACGCGTGATCCATTAACTCCGAGCTGAGGCTATGTCTCCATTTATTTGGATCGGTTGGTCGTTCAACTTATAAGCCTGTGAATGCTGGCCAAATTGTAAGGTTGTTTACCAAATTGGTCAATTAACTGATCCAATTGCTTACCTAATTGACAACGTTTTTACTGGAATGTTTCTACAAAATACTGCACACATTAAGAATGATTCAATAACACAAATTATCAAATACTTACCATCTTTGTTGCAGATCATGTGCGGCAAGATGAGGAACGAACAAGCCCTTATCAAGATTAGAACAGCCGTGCATAGTCCCGGACAGATACGTGTTTTAGGTCCACTGTCAAACTCTGTTGAATTTTCGGAGTCTTTCAATTGTCCTTTGGGAAGCCGGATGAACCCTAGAAAAAAGTGTTTGGTATGGTAACGATGATTTGACAAAATATGCATGAAGGACGAAAAATGTCTGTGCTGTATTTGTTTCCGGTAATCTTCACTTCGCCAAATTAGAAAAAATCGAACACTAGTATACAACTATATAAATCAAATTGGATCTGGCAGAGCAAGCGATCAAAGCACCTGAGAATTCAATAATAGATGTATAAACATGATAAATAGGTCGTGTAGTTTTTAAAAGGGCGATAGGCGAAAAGGTTACATTATGTTATATCATTGTAGATAAATGGCAAGATCACCAAGTAGTATAGAAAATACAAATAAGTGGACATAATATGTAATATAAATTATAATTCTCAATATCCATTTGTAAACGAACATCTAGTAATACCATGTACTAACAAAATTTTCATTTGCTTACCCATTTATTCTGATTCTGATACTGACATAAATCGTGTGCGATACTAATATCAAGAAGATGAGCATAATCAAAACACATTCATGGTGCTTTTTTAAGAATCTTTTACCAAGAAAAATGATTGATAAGGATGTGATGAAGCTTATGCAACAGTTATATCAAGTACATGTACCTTTCTGTGATAAACCTTGAGCATAGTTGTTTTGAGTACAATGGTTTTGCTAGTCCATTCAAACTTGGGACAGTATCATACCATTAGTACCTAAAATATATGTACATACAGTATACATATATATTTATTTCTCGTACATGTATAATCATTACAACAATTACTGTATATATGAAGAACAGTTGTGTGGTATTGTTTTGTCATTTGTAACGTTTTTAAAAAAATCATTTTGTAAATATGTCAGTGCTTAAACCTGTCATTTTGACTGTTTATATTACTTTAATACATAAATGTAAACTAGTAATATCATACTAACATGTAATGTAGAAACGTAACAATAAAAACGTTTATCCAAGTTATATGATGTCGATTTTGATTTATAATATCACAATAATTTCTTACATTTTAACACCAGCATTCAATAGATAACAAGCATAGTGGTCAACAGACTCAACACATTGATCCGTTCATACCAAGGATTTCGTAGAATTGTGGTATGAGTCACATCAGCCCCTCCGTCAAGATAATAGGATCCAGTCCCTCTGTAAATCAATAAGATTCAGCCCCTCCGCCAAGATAATAAGATTCAGCCCCTCCATCAAGATAATAGGATCCAGTCCCTCTGTAAAGACAATAAGATTCAGCCCCTCCATCAAGATAATAAGACTCAATCCCTCCGTCAAGACAATAAGATTCAGCCCCTCCATCAAGATAATAAGATTCAGCCCCTCCGTGAATACAATAAGTTTCATTCCCTCCGTCATGAAAGTAAGATTCAGTCCCTCCGTCAAGATAATAAGGTTCAGTCAATATGTCAAGGTAATAAGATTCAGCCCCTCCGTAAAGATAATAAAATTCAGTCCCTCCGTCAAGATAGTAAGATGCATGTAATCTCCTTGTGAACCTTTTCTAGGTCACTTGGCAAATAACACCTCGTCCATGAAGTTTGTCTTAATCTCCAAACTAAATTCTAAGAACTAAATTCCGAATTTTGTAACGCACTTGGTAATTATTTTACGAGGGAAATTATATATATATATTTTTTTTTTTTAAGTCAAAAACTTATGTTGCAGTTTGACAGCAGCTATGTTTGCTATTTTGCAAAGCAGTTCAATAAAAATGCTTTAAAAATAAACCCCATGGTACCATTGCTTCCAACGAAAATTGAAACTTTGATATGTTACGTAAGGATGAAACAATGTATGCCAAATAGTTCAAACTTTAGAGGGGCATTTAAAGTTTTGTTTCACTTTCCAATACAATACATACGAGCTGAAAATCAGAACATTAAAATATCTTCATTCACTGTTGAATGATAATACAGTGATACTCTGATTTGAATTTCTACATTCTCCCCCTCCTTTGAACTAAGTCTAAACAGTACTTGTTACAATACTCTAAAATTATTGTAAACTGTTACAGAATGTTTACAAGTTCACTTATTTCTTTGCCATGGTAAAAGATATTGGCATAAATGTGTTGGATCTGATAACATCTTTATAAATGTTCACTCTAAATAGTATATTTTAAGTTATTGGAAGTTGTAAGAATTCCGAACGCCGAGCGCTGAACACCGTCCAAAAAAGGTTGGAGACGATAACAATATGTCACCACTTCTGGTGGTGACATGACAAATGAGGTATAAAAAACACCAAATTCAATTGTTGCTTTCTTCAGTACACTTTCAAGAAATGACAAGTAATTCTTGTGAATAAAAGTTGAGTCCTTGGTCACTCTTTATTCTAATTATCAATGATACATTCACTTTTACCAAAAGCAGTCATTCCTAACAATTCAACATACATGTACGTCAAAATAACAATGACAACTTATAATTTCAATTATAAACAACATGTTGGTTTAATCAATTTAAGTACATGAATTACATGTAGTAAAATAAATAATAAAAATTGTTGGCTATTTTACACACTAAACCAATGCACTTTCAAATGACCCCTTCATTCTCTGCTATTGAACATGAAATTAATCATGGAATTCTAGGTGTTTAATATTGGTCATTTAAAATTGAACATCAGTGTATGGAATATTTTGGAAAATTATGCTAGATCGAGTAAATTGTTTTCTGCATAAAGATGTTCTACATTGTCATAAACCACATTAGCTGCTTCGATTATTTTTCCTAATGTCTCCATCAAATCAACCTCTGGCTCTTCATGTGTGCTAGACATCTTCTCTAACAACTGCTGCCTCGTGGGAACAGCATACACTGCCACACCTACAGTCTTCCTGATAATCCAAGGGTGGTAATTACCCAGGGTGCATTTGTATGCATCCCATGTGACCCCAGAGAGATTGTCGCCAGTGTTTTCTTTCAATCCTGTAAGGAATTGAATTACAAACTGTAACGCACGATGTAACCGTAGTAAAGTCCGAGCTCCATGTCTGCTCTTTTTCTTCAACTTAGTATACCCTTGTTGTTGTTCATAGACTAGCATCTGACCTACATCATCATAGTTCTCTTTGACATCAGATTCTCTATGAGCCTTCAGAATGGTGATTTTATCTTCAACGTCTGATACAACAAAGCTGAACACACTGCCCAACAGTGGGAAGAATCTGGAAGACACAAATCAAATGTTATAGGCCTACATGATTGGAAACTTGCGTAAATATGAAATTCAAATCTTGAATGTAGAAGTGAGGGTTATAAAAAGATGCATCATCTTATCATTTTAAATTTTTAACAAAAGATATTGTTTACAATGGTAATGCTTTCTTACAAAATGGTTTTCGGTATCAAATCCATGAATATAATCCAATGTCTTTTGTAATCGATGTTACTTAAAATTGGAACACTCGACATTTTTTTCTTCAATTTTATTTTGAATTATTTAGATTATACATCATTATACAAAATTCACTGTACGACCAATCCTTCTCGAGTTTATCACAGTGGTCTATTACAAACATGTAGCAAACACTGATGCAAAATGCCCCATAAGACTGCCCTAAAACAATATGTCACTAATGTGTGGTGACATAAAGTATGTCTCTAAACAATTCAAAAAGGGTTCTGTGCAGTAAGAATAATTGACGCATTATAAGGACATGTGGATGAGAATGACCAATATTAATGAGATTATATCCTTAAGTTTACTTCAAGGGAAGGCAAAGCTTGCCATATCATACACATGGATCAATTACTTAATGAAAATGTTTTTTGGTTGCTGAAAGTTTAATGCATAAAATTAGAGGGGGGCAATGCTAATGCTCTTGAAATAACCACAAACACAATTAAAATATTCTTGCTATCATTTATTTCATTTTTGGATTAACCTAAGACACAGAGTTATATATGTATATAACTGATCACAATTCAAAAGCAGCATGGCTACCTAATAATTTACTCAGCAATTGCCCAAAATCTAATCGGAGTATTGCACTAGTTGCATCTGACCATGAGAACAAGGCAATGACAACATGACACTTTTTAAATGTGATAATGATCATTACTAAAAAAAGAATAAATGTAAGTACATTTACATTAAGTATATCATACACTGGAAATATTGCACTTAAATTTACTTCTGCTTTCTATCAACGAGTCAACAACAATGTGTTTTATTTTTCAAAAGTTACTTTATTTTGAATCTGGATTTGCCACTGACTTTCTGTCTTCATACTAATATCTTAATTTTCAAGCGTCTTCATATCTGGATTTAAGGGTAGTGTCTTAATGTCTGGGTGTGCGAGTGTCTTAATTTCTGAGTTTGTAGGCAGGTCTATCTTGATAACTGAATTTGCAAGTTTTTCAGAATCTGTATGTTTTAAGCCATGATGTCTCAGGGAGCGAGCAGTTTTGAAACATTTCTGACACACCTTACACACATGTGGTTTTTCTTCACTATGAGTTTTTTCATGTTCTCTCAATTTACGGGGTGCATTAAAACATTTATCACATCGAGTACATTGTAGAGTCTTCTCATTATGTGTACTGAGATGAATAGTCAACCCATTCCTTCTGCGGAATTTCTTATCACACACTTTACAGGTGTATGGCTTTTCCCCAGTATGGATTGTTATATGCTGGTTTAATCTATTGCGATTTGTGAAACCTTTATTACAATAAGAACATATGTGAGAAATCTCGCCAGTGTGAACCATATGATGCTGCTTAAGAACATATTTCTTTATAAAGCTTTTATCGCAAAGTGTACACTTATATGGCTTCTCACCAGTATGTGTCATGATGTGATACTTTAATTCAGTTTTGCTTATGAAACATTTTTCACATTGGAAACAATTGAATGGCTTTTCACCAGTATGAATCCTCTCATGTAGCCGACATGCGTTTCTTTGACTGAAAATTTTATCACAAACTTTACACTTATATGATGTTTCACCAGAGTGTATAACCACATGTTGTTTAAGCTGTGATGCCATGGAGAATGATTCTTCACAATATTCACATTTATATGACTTTTCTCCAGTGTGTGTTTTTTCATGCTGGTTTAATGCAAATTTACTAACATATGACTTGTCACAATAGCTACATGTGAAAGGTTTCTCGCCAGTATGGGTTCGCTTATGTTGGCGCAATATATTCATAGTCCTGAAGGATTCCTCACATTCTGTACATTTATAGGGTCTCTCTCCAGTATGTATCCTAAGGTGCTCTGTTAATGAATACTTAGTAGCAAATGATTTCTCACATGATTTACATGTATATGTTTTTTTACCAGAATGTGATTTTTCATGTTCCCTTAATGCATATTGTCTTACAAAAGATTTATCACAAATTGTACATTTGAATGGTTTTTCACTAGAATGACTTCTGACATGAAGGTTAAAGACAGATACAGATGCAAATTTTTGCTCACAATATGAACAAATAAATGGTAACTTTTCACGAGTGTGTGCCTTTTCATGATCCTTGAGTTGAGAATTAGTAGCGAAACATCTCTCACAGTACTCACATGTATGTGGTTTTTCACCAGTGTGAATAATTTCATGGTCCTTAAGTTTATCACTGGTAATAAAACATTTGCCACAGTATTGACATCTATGGGGACGCGCTTTAGTATGAATTAATTCATGTTCATTCAGCAGGGCAATTTTCTTGAAAACTTTCTTACAATACGAACACTTAAATGATTTTTCTCGATCAGTGTGGACTTCTTGATGTTTCTTTAAGATGGAAGTTTTGTTGAAGCATTTATTGCAATGTTTGCATTTATAGGGTCTTTCGCCAGTATGAATCATTTCATGTTGTTTAACTTTATAAATATTAATAAAGCATTTTTCACAAAATGAACATTTAAAAGGTTTTTTTTCTTTTTGCTTATCTTCATGCTTTAATTCATGCTGTTTTAACTGAGACTTGGTGGCAAAGCATTCACAACAATTAACGCACGTAAAAGGTGTCTCAGGCACAGATTCATCTTTAAGATGCTCAGGCATAGACCTATCTCCCATGCTAACACTGATATCAGCCTCATCAGGTTTTGAATATTTAGAACACATGATATCTAATTTAATGAGATCTACTTCTTGCATTAAAGCATTATTGTTTGAGGTATTTTGATTATTATTGTGTATGGTGTCATCCACATTGTCTATGTCACTTTCATCATTGTAGGAGTCATGATCATTATCAATTTCTTGTTTTACATCAATAGCTGGGCCATAATCCATATCATTTGCATATGTCATGGGTTCTTCAGAAGCATCAGTAGTGCCAACATGTTCATCATCTATGTTTTCATCCACAAGTTCATGTTTCACATCAGATGTAATATCAGTAGAGTATAATCCATCAGTAATTGCAGGATTAACATCATCATTTACAATATATGCATTCTCTTCTTCATTAATACCACCACCAGAGGCATCATCACCATGATTAGATACAATAATGTTATCATTTCCTACATATTCCTCATGATGTGCAGCTTGATATGTTCCTTCTGTTTCAATATAAGTGTTAAAGTCATCATCATACACAGTTAGGTCATCACTCTCTTCGTGGTTATCAATACCAACATTATGGTTATTTCCTTCCATTTCAATACTGTTAGATGCACAGACATCTTGATCATGTTCTGAATTCTCAATAAGAACAGCATCATCTACATCTTGATTGGTTCCTTCACTATCATCACTATATGTGTAAGACATGTCATCAACATCATATATATTCTCATTTTGGTAACTGTTCCCTTCATGAATATTTTCATGCTGTTTATTTCCATCCATCATGATAACAATGTTCAATAGAGATTCTCAGTTATAACATAAATATCACTCGGTAAATCTTAAATGTATAATATTCTTCTAAAATGCATCATTGTCAATGTCATCCATGGCTTCAAGTACTTGAATCACCAGCTGGTCATTTTGCTTGCTATTATCTGCTGATGTAAAGGTATTTGCCCCTGAAAGTAAAAAATGAAGATATTAGTGGATGTTTGGTTTCCTTCATCTAGGGATCAAACAGATGGTGTTCCACCAGTGGACCATCACCAATGAAAGCTACAAGGGAGTAAAGTAGAAGATGTAGAAAAATGAAAATAGATTCAATTCAGTGGTAAAGCAGGTCACTTCAGATATTGGTGATTCTAGCATTGGGTTGTTACATCATCTCATAATCTTATAAAATGCCTACAAAATTTAAAATCTTATTAAATGACTATTGACTGATGGAATGTTAGTCCTCAGCATTTAAGACAACAGCAACACCAAAGTGTAGCAAATCCCATCAAACAGCCATGGCTGGCATTTTTAGAAACAAAGTATATAAAAAAATAGCATATAATAAATAGCCACTACAGTATAACCTGTATATCTGAACACCTGGCTAATCCGAACTCTTCCAATTTTAACACTTTTTTCGGTCCCATTTTTTCCTCCCATTGACTCCCATGTTAAAAAACCTTGAAATCTGAACACCTCCTAATCTGAACAGTGAACAACCAGATTTGAAAAACTGATCCGTCTAATTTGAACATTTTTATCAGAAATCAAATGTCTGGACATTTCAACAATAGCCACATATTAAGTCAATGTTCTAGTTGTTATTTATCTTTACATATACAATGTAATCAAAGCACCAATATTGTTCTAATTAACTTATTTAGTCTCAGAGATTTAATCTCTTATTTGTGGAAAACAACAGGATGTTTTGGAAAGGTGTGAGTACATAATTGGTTTATCCTATTAGAACTTAATATTTTATGTATTTTCAAAATGGCCACCTAAACCCCAAAGTGTCATTAGACAGTGTGCTATGCTTATAGTATTCACATATCAAATATGAACAAAATCGCTCCACTTCTTTTCGAGTTAAAGTAAAAAACATAAAAATGGCGGCCATTTTTCAAAATGGCCACCTACAACCAAAAGTAACATTAGACAGTGCCATGCTTATAGTATTCACATACCAAATATGAACAAAACAGCAAATATCGCGAAATAGCGGGGAAAGGCCGCCATTTTTCAAGATGGCTGCCATGTGCTTCTTTAATATTTACATTTCTAACTTTATTAATGTCCTATATAATTTTTTTACATTTAAAACATATTGCTATTACAGTTTTACATATTGTACCTAAATTACTGTAAAATTGGCACTAAAATGGCCGCCATTTTGAAACAAGTGGCCATTTTGAAAATCGGCTTTCGAGCAGAACTTCAACCCCTAAATAGCATATGTGTACAAAGATGAACAAAATCTGGCCAACGGTATTTGAGTTATCGCCCAGACAAACGGACGGGCGGACATTATTTGTTGCTGCTGCATCAGTGTCTTCATTCGTTGTCTTCTTTCTTTGTCTTGATTTGATTGTTGTCTTGATTAGATTCTCCAGGTCCACAGACTTGGGATTGCACATAGGTGGGTTAAACGTTTTGATGATGGACAGACGTACAGAAGGATTGACGGAGGCATTCCCTATATCCCTCCGAACTTCATTCGATGGGATAACAAATGACTAGTGCAAATAAAAAATTATCTGAGTGTGTTTAAGTGTGTGAACAAAATGTCTATATATATTTTTTGTCCATGTCTATATACATGTACATGTACAGATATTTCAGTCTGTATTTTTTTGACCAAACATATTGACAATGTCTGAAAAGCCTATTAAAGAGAGAATCAGATCTAGCAAGCAGACTAAACAAAAATTGCTTCAAATTTAGAATATTTTTTCTCATATCATTGCTTGTTATTTTGTATATTTGCTAAAAATCATGAAATTACATATTGGTACTTTATTCCAACTTGAGATTTTTAGAACAATGTGTTATTTATTTATTTTTTATTTCTATGGTTACCATTTTTTATTCCCAATTTTGCATTTTGAACCATTAATAACAATTTATGACATATCTTGAATCCTTTTGGAGATTATAAGGAATAGATAAGTAGGCCAATTGTACATGTTGTTTGCAACTTTGTCACCCCTAGAGATAGATCTGATTCTGCCTTTAACATCTCAAATAGTGAACAAACTCCAGCTTCCAGCTCTAGCTTTGCAGACTAGACTAATTAGAATCCAGGGATCAAACCTAAAAACTTAACAACAGTAGGGTACATTTTAAAGGTAATGACCTTGTCAATCTGCCATAGTGTAGATTTGGTTAATATTGGAGATTGGTGTTTTGTACACACCATATGTTCTGGGCCGATATAAAGATGGCAGCACCAACAGAATTCAGTATAACATAAATAAACACAGATCGATTACCATGCCATCTTTATCTAAAAATTATTTCTATTGACCTTAGCCTATGGTACACACTGTTACTGAGAATATTCCATTTGTCTTCTGGTAGATTGCATTTTATCTACTTCATTGTAAGTTTTGAAATTTTAATTTATTACTTCAATGAACAATCACCTCAATTAGCTGGTTATTCTTTAATATCTTGTTTGCTTTTAGCTTCCTTTTGGAGAAGACAGGGTTGCATCTAGTACCCCCAGGGAGATCTTTGTCATATAAGGTAGATACTGTCTAGAGCTCTGGGCTGCTTCATATTCATATAATACAGGGTGTTCAAAAAAAAACGCAACCCAAAGAAATCGCTATATCTTGGAAAATACTTATCCAATTGTGTTCATTTTTCAGGAAAGAAAGAAGAGACTATGCGTGTCTAGCTCCTGCTGTTAGTTAGTTGTAAAACATGATGTTTTGGACACCTTCTCAAAAGACATTAGTATTGGAAAGATACGAAAAATGCAACCAGAGGTGACTGCCAGAGCAATAAACCCTAATAACTTTCTAACCATGGTGTTTTGGCACTTCAGATTCACCACAAATTATCTTCATATAATGTGTAGTGAATTGGGGGAGTTTCATTAAAATCACTCCAGGGACTTTACAGTCATGGTCAGAATGCCTTCTTAAGTCTGGCTGAACCAGGGTGTTTGACTGGGTTTTGAAAGCATTTCGACCAAAACTGTAAAGTCCCTGGAGTGATTTTGATTTCACTCTACAGATTTATCATACATTGAATGAAGATGATTTGTGCCAAATTTGAATAGCCAAAACACTATGGTTAGAAAGTTATTTGGTTTTATTGCTGTGGCAGTAGTCTCTGACTGCGTTTTTCGTATCTTTCCAATACTAATGTCTTTTGAGCATTTGTCCAAGGCATCATGTTTTACAACTAACTAACAACATGAGCTATACATACACAGTCTCTTCTTTCTTTCCTGAAAAATGAACACAATTGGACTAGTATTTTCCAAGATATAGCGATTTCTTTGGGTTGCGTTTTTTTTTGAACACCCTGTATTATGTATATCAAGGATATTTTCAATTTCCTTCCATGAAACTGCATATTATTTATAGCCTAACTATTATATGGAAAACTAATTTCTGTGGTCTAAATTCAGTATCAACATAGATTTTTAGGCGCCCTTTGCCTCAATCGGTCAATCGGTACATGTATCTAAATAAATGAGTATTGTGTTTATGGTCTTACTTATGGTAAAATATTACACATATGTATTTTAGGTTTGATTGCAGGCCTGTACCCAGGGGAGGGGGAGTTCGAACACCCCCCCTCACCAAAAATTCTTACAAATTATGCAGTTTTTCACCATTTTCACATTTCAGGTGATTTTTGCCTTTTTTGGGGCAATGTTGTCAATATCCCCTAGGTTTTTTCATTTAATGAATTGGCTCACAAATCTGGTATTCTAGCTTTAGATCTTGTATTTTCTAAATATCTTGCAAGGCACTGACAATTAGTCTACAAAACCTAATAAATAAGCAATCACACAATTGCAAGTTTATCCTAAATCCCCCTTTCATTAGGAGCAGCCATACCAGAATTAGTCAATTTGAAAAAGACCATTTTTACATTTTTTTATCTTGAGAACATTTGAAAGTTAAAATAATTTGAGCCTAGCGCCAATTTGGAACTTGATTTCTTATAATCCAAAGTGATTATGTTTAATAACGTAAACAATTTTCCCCAACAAATCCAGTACCGTTTTGAAGCCAAGCAGCATCCCCACATAATGGTGCAAGAATTTCTTAGACAAGCTAAGGAGCTTCGAGAAAAAGCACATTCTCAACTTTTAGAAAATTAACATGGCACCAAATGCAGTGACAAATCTTAGTCAGAGTCTCAGACTTAGTATGTATCCAACAGACTGACTAGAAGTCAGTCTGTTATGATGTACTACTGTCTTGTGGAAATTGCAGTGAAATTTTTTGCACAAAATTATCAATTACAGGAACCATTTCTTCAATAAAATAAACATTACAAAAATTCAATTAAGTAGTAAGGTACAATTAAATGCAATAAAAAGTAACACAGCATATTGTGAAGTGGAAATAAAGCTAGTTGAAGTTATAACAAATATGCAAATTAATTCACTCCATCATCCGTTTTGAAAAGCACTTCCTAACTAAACAAATATTCTGAATTACCAAATCTTAACATAGGTTGCTTATAGTCGGATTATATTCAGACTAAATAGGATATAGTCTAGCCGCAGACTGAGACTCAGATGGATATGGATATGTGTATGAGGGGAGATGTCAATGTGGTAGCCTGACAGTCATGCCAGGGTATTTCAACATAAAGGGACTTCCTAGGGGGGTACAGGGGCCAACCAGGAAGGTTCCTTTCAATTTTAAAATGAGTTGTAAACCATAGATCTATTTTTAAATGTTAAGGTTTTAAATTATATTTTATTCAAATTCTATCACTGTTAAATTATATGTCTGCTTCATATGGGCTTATTAGCCTTTTGCAGATTATTGACATAGACATACAGTGGGGAACATAAAGAATTACTAGAGCTATGAAAATTACATGCTGTCGCACATGTAATAAATTCTTACCTCGGTGTATTCAGTGCTATATTTTCTCCGTCCTAGTACATGTAAGTCCATATACATGTATAGTGGAATTTGTGTCCATAATGACAAATAAGAATTTGAAGCCCGATTACGCCGCTATGAGGATTGGCTCCCAGAACGCAGCATAACACGTGCCAGCTTTCAAATTGCCGTTCCGCCATTTTGAAACCTGTCACGGGTAAATAAGGTAACTGATGTTGCATTCTGGGAGTAAAACCTCCTTTGATCACAAACATGGCGATTCATGAAAACATTTCTTCGATTTAGAAGGGATTTATCCATCATTTGCAGGTATGAAGCTTTGGATTCATTTAATGTGCTACTTAAGTGATCCGGAATTATTTTTCTACCGCTTGGGAGAGTTTGAGATACGAAACTTAGAATTTAGCTCATTGTGACAACTTTTGATGGTTGAGATTTATTTTTGTTCCCATTAACTACATGATGAATAGATATCTAAGAAATTCTCCATCTAAAATGTCACTCGACTTTTTGGCAATTAAAAGTCCCTGCCTGCATTTAGTAGTCATATATTGTCATGTGCATAATTTTGAAACCATATCCTAATTATTTCACAAACCCTTTGTTGATTCTGCCATAGTTTCCAATTTGTAAACAGCATTTAGCCTTTTTAATTGGGAACTTTTTTGAAATTTCCTAAATGGCTGCCATGTGATTCCAGAATTAACATGAGTGTGACGTGACATCACAGTTGCTCGTTCCTAGGTAACAACAAGATCACAATTGCTCGTTTCTAGATAGCAACAAGATTTTTGATAAAATGGCACTGAATTACCCTGATTAACACCATTGATAACCAACATTAATATATTTGGAGAAACAATAAAAGGTAAGTGGAATAAATTAGAAGATGGTTTCAAGTTACCACAGAAGTCAATTTGATACTCAAGAATGCTTTCTTTGACTCATAATCACAAAAAAGTCGAGTGACATTTTAGATGGAGAATTTCTTAAGGTACAGCTGGAAAGTAACATTTTGGTAAAAAATTGCTATACCTGCACATGTTATTTTCTGGTACAAAATAAAGTATGAAGGCATGTATCAATTTCCTTGCTTTTTTCAGGAAAGTATCATTACATTGTCTTCTTTTAGAATATCTGGTAGACGTTCAAAGGGAACTCCAGGGAATTCTGATATTTCACACTTCCTGTTTTTCCAAATTTTCTTTCAAAGTTTCCAGACAACACAGGAGCTACCATTGACCTGTTTCCAGGTTTACTAAAAGTAGACAGTGTAATGATACTTTCCTGCAAAAAGCAAGGAAATACACACATGCCTTCATACTTAATTATGTACCAGAAAATAACATGTGCAGGTATAGCAATTTTTTACCAAAATGTTACTTTCCAGCTGAACCTTAATCTAGGCTAGACTGAAAAAATCGAATGATTTACATGAGTATGACTCAAATTTAACTTACTTGACTAGTTCCTCATACGCTTCGAGATAAGGACCAATTAAAACTGAACTGTTTTCTGCGTCTGCAGCCACCAGAGATGCATGGAGACTCAAAACGTTGAAAGATTTTACATTAGCCATTTATGGATTTACACATAAAAACACATTCCACATTTTTATATTACACCAATTTTGTGAACGATTAAAATGAGCGAATGAAAACTGTTCGGTATTTTTTATCTCATATTGTTACATGTATAATTCATAAGATCTAGGTTTAAAAATGGGCATTGAATAGATTTTTTCTTAATTATTATGTTATACCAGTGCTGCGCCCACTCCTTGTTTTTGATAAAAAAGGCCCGGGAAAAAAGGCCAAGTAATGCCCAAAAATGCCCACTTATTAGGCCCGACAAAAAATTCTAGGCCCACCCAAGGGGGAACACAGGCCCGGGAAGAAGATTTAACCCCCCCCTCTCACTGTATAAAGAAAATCCATAACACAAGGAGTAGGGGGATTAATATATTCCTTGACCTGTGGGGGAGGTACTGTAGATGAGCTCCCTCCCCTCCGCGGCACTGGATCTACCAGTGCAGTGACAGGAGCAGATCTAGGAACCAACAGGGGGGGCCAAATTTCTGGTCTGGGAAAAAACGTCGGAAAAAGATTTATGAAATGTTGAGGCCCATTTTCTTCAAAATTTGGCCTAAATTAAAAATAAGGCCTTCGAAGGCCCAGTAATGACCAAAAAAGGCCCGCTTTTTCGGGCCTCAAGGTCTTTTTTGGCCAAATTTTGTTCGGACCCTTCATTTTCTGGGCCCACCCAAGGGGACGGGGCCCCTGACACCCCCCCCCCCCCTCCGCCAGTGAGTGAGAATTAAAATCGCTATGAGCAACTCAAAATTACGAACTAATTTTTGTATTTGAATATGTTGTTCGTTCACATAATTAGCGTATTTGCAAAATATATGGACTGTGTTCAATAGCAATTTTCCCGGCAAATAGAAATATGGAAACAAGGTTTGTAAATGTCCTTTGTTGGTGATTCTGCGAGAGTTGGAGTGAAGGATATGATAATATGGAAAGAGCGTGTCAATGTCTTTTTTCTCAAATTTACTCGCATATGAAATATGAATATTTCAAAAGATCTCCGATGGCAGAATTTAATAGAATAAAAACAACCAACCAAATTAAAACTGCACAAATTAAAACTGCTATTCGTATTGAGTTATATTCACATTCATTTTATGCATATCCATAATGCCTGTTTGACCCATCATCGCCATTTCTCAAGTTCGCCCAGTTTTTTTGACTAACTGAAACTGATAGGCAAATCTGACTTGAGAAACTGAGTACCTAAAAAAGTGACTATATGTACATGTAGGTACTTAAGTCTTAAACTGAGTACATAAGTTGAGTACTGAGTAACTAAGAAACTGAGTAGTAAACGAAGTCCGTCCGTCCGTCAACATTGGCCGCACAAATTAAAAGTGCTATTCCGTGGGTCCTTTATTCTATTCAAATTGGCTTATTAGCCTTTTGCAGATTATTGACAGTAACAGTTCAGTTCAGGTTGCGATTACCCTCAGCAGAAAAGCTGATTGATCTGTCACTGCAGCCATCCTTTGAAAAAGGCAAGATCCGATGAAATCCCAGTTTGGGGGTTTGTGTAAAAAACTGGTTGACCAGGTAGCCGGATGACCAGGCAAGCTTTATCGTATGCTACGACCCCACTTACCTTGTGGTCGAACGCGTGAACCATTGGTCAGTCGATGTTTCTACAAGGTTGTTTTACATCGGGAATAATTCAGCACTTTTCAAGATGTCGGAAGGGGAATCCCCTAAGATACCAATGGCAATGTTGTATTGTACATGGTGTGTTTATTGACAGATAAAAATGGAAATAAAGTTTCAGAATATGTGTCTGTAATATACTGTATATTAAACAAGTCTGGAAAATCATCATCGTAGAAAGCAATCATCGATAAGTTACCCAGTCACCCATTTGGATATCTTTATGGACACCATTATGGTTATAATAAGTAAGAAGAATGAAATGAATTATAAAATGTCTTTGAATACATTTGTTCTGCATATACATGTGCTGAGTGCTCTGCAATTACAGAAGTCTTGAGGAGATACAGGAAGTACTAGAGTTAGCTAAGTTAGAGCGCTGTGATGTCCAACCAATGGCACAATGTTTCACATTCTCAGAAGATTTGGGTAATGATTCATTCAAGTTGATGGAACTAAACCCGGACATGTTAGCCACTATAAAAGCTGGAGACAGGTATTGATTTGATGCATTTTCTCTTTTTAAAGCATCATGGAACTCTATCATTCATTATCTGTTGATCAATTTAATCAAACTCACACATATCCCAACCATATAAAATATAGACTTTTTTTTATTTTTTAACTAAGGTACTGTATTTCCACACCTTCACAAAAAATGAAAAATGTAGAAGATATACATGTAGCGATATTTTGTTTTGAAACATTTAAAATTTGAAAAATATCATGCAGACTACGTTAGATTAGATTAATCTTGTATTTGAATTTATTTTATTTGCAGCTTGGTAATAAGAGGAGATGAATCTGATTGTGCTGTGATTTGTACTAACAATAAAACATATGAGTTAAAAGAAGCTGAAATATCAAATTCTCTACTACTTATTCCTACTGTTATGTTTCCTGATCAGATGGAAAATAAAGAAGAAACATTAGAAAACAGACAGGTATAACAATAAATGTTATGTTAGAATTGCATTAACAATTACAGGTAAATATCCCTAAAGTTTCACAAAGATCTTTTTGCTTTTTATCAAAAAATACTAGATTAGTGGATATGTGGATAACTTTCCCTTAATTTGGGGCTCCTTAAAATTGGCGAATTTGCAATTTCGAACATTTGGCAGCTAATTAATTTGGCAGATTCGCCAAATTAAACAGCCGCCAAATTAAGTAGAAGTACAGGTACAGTACTCGAATCCAAATAATGTTTTCTCTTTGATTTGATGAATTTTGCATTTGATTACTTTCAGGTGGTATCTATTATGCATGACTACCTAGAGTTACGTCCATGTAAGCCAAGGCTACAAAAATTGAGGCAGTTATTGGAGGAATGTCCATATAAAGGCATACTAGAGGATGCAGAGGGACAATCAGGGAAAAAAGTAAGTACTGGAACAAAACCTTATTATCTTCGTATTATGTTCAAATTACATGTAAACAACTGATAAGAATCAAAAATTATTGTAAAACTTCTAATTATCCCAACGAACGAAGTTCGGTAGGGATATAGTGAAGCCCTCCGTCCGTCCGTCAGTCAGTCAGTCCGTCAGTCAGTCCGTCCGGAAGATAACTCAAATATTAGTTGACAGATTTTCTTCATATTTGGTGGAAAGATGTATATTGATGAATAGTTTTACGCAAAAAATTTTTTTATCAAGATGGCCGCCGCTTTAAAAATGACGGGACTTTTTCGTAAAAATCATAAATTTTTCATTCTAAACCAAAGTAATTAATATTATCGTTTGAAATTTTGGTAGTATATTCGCAACATCTATCTATTTCACATATATCCGTGTTTTTCATCCTGACCCCCAGGGGCCGTGTATGGGGGGTCAGGAAAACAGAAATTTTCGCTAATTTTTAGATCTTTCTGAAGTATAGCTTTATTATACTCAAATGAAAGGCAATTAAGAGTAGATTGCAAATATTATATATTTTTTCTGATTCGAGCCTCGTAAAATTCAAAATGGCCGTCTAATGTACGATTTTGCAATAATTTTTTGATCCCTTCAAAGTATGGCTATATAATACTCAAATTGAAGGAATTTTGGAGTAGATCACAATTATGGTATTATTTGTCAGATTTGTACCTCAAAAAATTCAAAATGGATTTTTTCAAGATGGCCGCCGCTTTAAAAATGACGGGACTTTTTCGCAAAAATCATAAATTTTTCATTCTAAACCAAAGTAATTAATATTAATGTTTGAAATTTTGGTATTGTATTTGCAACATCTATGTATTTCACATATATTCCATGTTTTTCATCCTGACCCCCAGGGGTCCGTGTATGGGGGGTCAGGAAAACAGAAATTTTTAGATCTTTCTGAAGTATAGCTTTATTATACTCAAATGAAAGGCAATTAAGAGTAGATTGCAAATATTGTATCTTTTTTTGATTCGAGTCTCGTAATATTCAAAATGGCCGTCTAATGTACGATTTCGCAATAACTTTTCGATCCCTTCAACGGATGGCTATATTTTACTCAAATTGAAGGAATTTTGGAGTAGATTACAATACACTGTATTATTTTTCAGATTTGTACCTCAGAAAATTCAAAATGGCTGCTTTGCAGGAATTCGCAATTCTAAAATCTAAATTTTTCAATTTTAACCAAAGTAATGAATATAATTGATTGGAATTCGGTAATTGATATTTTGTTCGTTGGGATTTGCTACTCCGCGGAGTTGCCATTATCAAAAATGAACTTTAAATATGCCTCTGAGGCATCAATTCACTCATATGTAACCATATTCATTGGATCTACTGTCTACGTATGACATATGATGTTCAACGAATAATGTTACTCATAACTGTGATGAGAAAAAAGTACAAAACTATGGTTTTATACTAATTGTGAACAAGTGTAAGATGTCAGAACTTTTTTCTAATGTATGCACATCTGATTTATGATTTTAGTTGGTACACACTTTCAATGTAATTAGGCATATACACTCCCCTCCATAACTTTGGCAACCTTTTTCCCCCATTGAACTACGTGTTAAAGCCTCTTTACATTGGAATTTTTATTTACTTAACCTGCGATAAAAATACTTATACTATTGATGGAAACGTAATTTGACTTTAATTCCGATACCTCCAATGACTTTAAAGCGCTGTAACTTTAATATTCATCAAATAAACTAAACACTAGTGTTCAAAAAAGTTAGACAATTCAATTTTCTAAATAAAAATATTTTTTGCTGAATCGTTTACTGAAAAGATATCCTGATTTGCCCCGAACCCTCATTTCCCATTGGATTACATGGGAATGACGATTTTCAAAAATTCATCAAATTTATCATCAATTTTCGACCTATTGTAATTGAGGAAAAAAATTGAGAAAATTTTGAGGTATTGGAAATAAAGTCAAGTTACGTTTCCATCAATATTATAAGTTATTTCATCGCCAGTTAAGTAAATAAAAATTCAAACGTAAAGAGATTTTAACACGTAGTTCAATGAGGAAAAAAGGTTGCCAAACTTATGGAGGGGAGTGTATAAAAATGCATAGCTGATCATCAAGATATTGCAACTGTAAAAGGTGTGACTTTTTCAGTTCACATACAGTGTACTCCAAGACATGGTACAGTGTAGCAACACAGAGCTAGATGCAGCATTGAAACAATTGAACGCCTGTAAGATACAAGGTTAGTCATAAAATTTTATCTTTTGAGGTGATTACGCCAACTCAGAGAATACTCTACGTACTTTGAGAGTACATAGATGGACCAATCTCCATGTATACATCTACCTCCAGGTGGTTTCAACTGTAAAAGTTCTGGGATAAACTGTATTTGATATTCAACTATAATTCTCACATTACACCAAGGATTTCTATCAAGCAAATGCCAATGTTTCTACAGTGTTTCTTGGTTCGTGCAGTGCACCTTTGGATTGTTAGTTGACAAGAATCCTTTTAAAGTCTCAGGGCGACTCTGTGAAATATCATGTTGGAATGTCACTCAAGGAAATATTAGTTACATGTACATGTGATCAAATATAAGTCTCTTTAAAAACGTGTATTTTCAATTTGGTTGAATCTTTTGAAGGTCATATTCCAGCGATTTTCCAAAACACTGCTGCAGATGCTGAAATTCTGAAATATGTCTTTTTCAGAATATTGGAGGGTGACTGATTTTGAGTACCTGATCAAAGTGTTGACCAACATCACCAACCTATGTACAGAAAATGACTGGCCAATAGATAGGATTCCCTTACAAGAGGTCTCACAGCAACTAGAAGATGATGGCACCTTTGCCAGGTATATTATAGACAGACATGCCAGGCCCGTAGCCAGGGGGGGTTCGCATGGTTCGGGCGAACCCCCCCCCCCTGGCCAAAAATTCTTTCAAAATCATGCAGTTTTTCACCATTCTGAGCACTTTTTAGGTGATTTTGGCCCTTTTTGGACCCAAATTGTCAAAAGTGAACCCCCCCCTGGAATTTTCCAAAAAGTGAACCCCCCCTTGGCAAATCCTGGCTACGGGCCTGCATGCTACATGTGCATGTAGTATTCCCCCTGAACCTTTTTCTGAATAATGCACAAAGTTCTCAAAAGATATCAAAGATCATTTTTCACATATCCTGTTTGAGATGATAAAAATTATGAACATTGCTTGCATTTTCGATAACCCTCTTCATTTAAGATCATCACCTTTTGTAGGGTTGTGGTAGAACATGTGCTGACATCTTTTGGCACCCCTGTGAACTCCGACACAGACATGGAAACAGATGCAGGTAGGATATACAATGAAATTGTAATTATTATCCATCACTTCCCAATGATCCCCTGTGTGAAACAGTAAATGGCCCGTCAAATTATTTGATGATATTTAAATAGGCCTAATAAGGATTCTTTCACTAAATCATGTTTTTTGCAGGGTGATATATTTGATGATTGTACCCTTTACTAGGGCACTTTGATATCTGTTTTTTAATGTATGTCTTTGTTGCCATAAATATAGCATGTGTGACAAAAATATTCTCTACCTACATGTATATATCAGTAAAGGAGTATTTTCATCAGTTTCAAATCTTTAAAAGAAAATATGTCAGGTCAGTTTGGCAACTTGTATAGTTTGATCTTTTATCTTGCTCTTCTACTGCAGGACCATCTTTCTATAAACTAGATGAGGATAAGATGTGTAGGCTTTATGCTGATATGATTCTACGAGATACTAAAAAGGTAAGAAAGTTGAAATAGTAAAGTATCAATATTTCATTGTTATCCCACAATATAATATTTCATATTAACTCCCTCTACCTCCCAGTCGTAGCTCAAAAAATACCATTGGTCCAATTTCATTTACATTTTATACCCAATTTGAGTACAAGTTCTGCTTGAAAGCCTATTTTGAAAACAGCCAACGGTTTCAAATTAACTTGCCTCCCATCATATTCTCCATTGTTCCTTATGGAAACTTACTAAAAAATGTTTTTTTTAATTCAGTTTAATTTCCAAGAGTTCATGGATGCCTGGCAGCAGTGTGTACCTGAAGGAATGAAAACTGATGAGTTCCAGTTGCAGGTACAATCTGTATTATTTTGATAATGCTAGTAAGAATATGCTACTTAAAGCTTATTCTACAGAAGTGTTCAGCAGTGCAATTAGTTTGCCTGAACTTATTTTAATTCTTCACTACACGTAATTACTTTTTCAATTTTGATTTTTTGTTACATATACATGTACGAGTACTTGCTGTTGAGTCCACCATTTTGTTAACACATTGATTGGTGAGAATTCCTACATTGCTTCAGAGAGTGTACATAAACTCTAATATGTGCTCTAAAGCCTTCAACATCATTTTCAATTATTTTAGGGTTTAGCACTAATTGATCGAGACAGTAGCCCAGAAATCATTACCTACTTCCCTGTAGAGAATCTACCAGACGAGGTAGATGAGCGATTCACAAAACTTTTTACACAAAAAGAGAAATGGACTAAAGATGAAATAACACCTTATATCAAGTAAGCCATAGCATTGTCATATAATACCCCTTAAGTGCCCACCCCCTTCTTGTTAATATTGATGAATTACACATCATATTATTGATTCATCAACAGATGGGCCATCATTTCTGTCAATTTGGTTATTGCAGGTAAATTGGCAGGTAAATTGACATTTGAACTCAAAAAAGTCATCTTTATCAAAGAAATATCTTATCATATTTTCAAGTTATTAAGTTGACATTAGTTTAAAAAGTTACACTTATTTCTGGATTGCTTATGGCAACCAAAATGTAAAGCATTTTAAAAGCAACATATTGATTTGACAAATAACTTTAATTTCAAATAAAATTTCAGTGAGATTTCGTATTTGAATCTAAGCTTGGAGGAAATGCAGAATGTCACTTGACTCTTGGGTGATTTTGAAGTATTGTCTGTACAAAGTCAACTTTTGTAGAAATATGAAACCACCTTCTAATTTGCCTCATTGACCTTCTATTGTTTATCAAAAATTTTCTCTCAAAATCAGGAAATTAGGATGATAAGCAGGGAAAATTTGTAGGGAATTTCAGTCACAAAAAACGAGTGACAACTTACACTACATGTAATACCCGGCCGAGTGTAGAGTTGCCTAAATCATTCATGCGTGTTACCTCTCAGTCCAGTCATCAGACAGACATAGACTTAATTTTTCAAGGACATGTCAATCCCCCAGGATGTGTGGAATATATGAGTGTTTCCACTGTCCATATGTTTGTTCTTTTAATTTCCAGTGATCTTGCAACGGAAAAGATTGGTGTAGGGTCCCTTTTGATGAAGTACGCAAGAGGATCAATGCAGAAAGGAGTAAAAGTCTTCAACAGTAGAAAACCATTGTCCTGACCTTCAATCTACCAGATTAATGTTATAATTTATATCATCATTTAAATGCTTACACAACTCTAGAAATTTTGTGTCTTATTTTATAAGTGACACACAAAAATAATAACAATAGGACATAAAAATAACACACTTCAAATTGATTTAAAATATCAATCTCTTGATAATTTTTAAGCTGCCGTTTAATGAACAAATATCCGAATATATACAAGATATTATTAACATCCATATACTGTGAAATAGAATAAACGCTGTATTTTATTTATATACACATACATGCATCCTGTAAAATTGATTATGCCATATATTTTATGTGTTGATACATTGTACTCGTGATTAAACCATAAGACTAATCACAAAATGACCCATTATTCTATGATAACACCTGGTCTTGGATTGAATGTCTTCAACAGGAGTAATAGATTTTACTGCACTGACCTGCTTCTATCCACAGGTTTAGTTTTCTGTACAAAGTACAACTTGTACAATCAGTTACCTAGAGACTGCGCTGTATATGTAGTATAACGCACAGTCTTTAGTCTACCTTTCATAATTACTGCATACTGACTTTGGTATAGAGTGCCGATGTCGTCGTGGAACATTATCCCTATTTTTGAAGGGCAACGTCTCTCTTTTTTCTGAAATGATCTGTTATTTCCGTGGAAATACACGTCGCTTTAATATTTTAATATTCCAGGGGGCTATGAGGTGACCACGTACAGAAAGTGCATTTTATGTAATTTATTTTCCTATATATTAATAATCAATTACTTAATCTTAAATGTACAACAATCAACATTTATGTAAAATATAAAAATATGGATCTAGCCCTGAACATAAATATTATAAATCACGAACCTAGATGTTTATACATCAGTAATACACTTTAATTGTGTAAACTGTAGTAAACATCTGAGACCATCATAAAATCAGGTAATCATACAGTATAAATACATTTAGTGTATACGCATATACATTAGTTCAGAAGTTTATAATGAAACGTCAATAAAAGCGTTAACTGAAAGAAGATAATTAGAATTAGATGTGTCTCATCTAAAAAAAGCTGTTCGCGTCATCATTTATGTTTTATTTGTCTATAATGGCAAGCAGCTCTACACGGTTTCTAGACAACTCATCCCAAGACAACTCATCCCAAGACAAGTCATCCCTAAGACAACTCATCCCAAGACAAGTCATCCCTAAGACAACTCATCCCAAGACATCTCATCCCAAGACATCTCATCCCAAGACAACTCATCCCAAGACATCTCATCCCAAGACAACTCACAGTACTTACTAAGCATAAAGTCATAAACAAGGAATTTAGCGAAGAAAACTATATCCCTTTTCGGTGAATAGTATCAGTCAAGCCGAGTAACTAAGTCAACATTCGAAAATAAAAATCTCAAAAATCGTACATCTTTGATTTCCAAAATAATTTGTGAGGTGGTTATTAAGATGATAATACACATTTTAACGTATTAATTTTGAGTACATCTCGAATCCATTCTCAACAAAGTGTCCTCGAAATCAGTATTCGGAATATTTGAGTTCGGGATGATAAAAGTACGTTAAGATATACCGCTCCTTAACAAACTCCTTTGGGAACACGATATAGAATCAAATGCATATTCTTTTTATTTACTCCCTGACACATGCCAACGAATGTTACATAAGTAAATATCTCAGTTTTAAATAATTTTGTAAACGTTGTTCTCTACAGGTGCCATTTTTTATAATTGAAAAACAAAATTGAACATTTTGGATTTTTAAATTGATAAGTTTCTTGGAATACAACTTAACCGTTAACGATTTAAGTCATTAATAATATTTCCCTATTAGTGATCCCATGCTAAATAAACAGTAACTAGGTCATTGTTTTGTGTTCAAACTTGTTTTCATGACTTTTAAACACGAGTCGACAATTATGTAGGAAATTTCAATTCCAAATGTAAGCGTGTCAACTCCTGTTTTTGCACAAAATTTAGCCCTTTATAATGATAGATCGTCAAAATCTGCATGTACCTCTCACTGAGGCGACATGTTTTTAAATTAATAGATGCTGAGCTATAAACTCAAACAAAAATTCAAACCACCCGCTAATATTTTGATTACACAAGACGAAATTTCCACTCCCGGGGAGCACTGTGGTAACACTTTGAAGCAGGATTCTCGAAAAATCGTTCTTGTCTTTCACAAAAGGTTTCTCGCAATTTTATTGCTTTGTTTAAGCCTCGACTCATATCATACTCAAATCCGATACCATAATTATGAATTAAAATGAAACATTAAACTCACCAGGTTATATGATAAACCGTTTCGAGAATCGATGATTTGAGTTAACTGTGGATACTTATATAAATGTTAATCGGCATGTATTCGACAGTTAATGTACAAACATGATGTATGCATCAAGTGTGACTTAAATATAAATTCGTGACTATCATATTTGGCTTTCAAAAATTAAGTTGGAAGTTACAGCGGTTGGAGATTAACGAAAACGTCAATCACATCCAAATATCCGAACGACGTCAAGTATTAACAATACACTTTTCGTCCATCTCGAACAAGGCAAGGTTCTGTGATCCAGCAACGTGCATTCCAAAAGAAAAAATTCACAAATATCAACAAATTTCATTGAGTTGGATATTACTTTCGAAATCACAACTTTCGAAAAAAAAATTTTAACCACGAATTTTAAGAACTTCAAACATGTTGTTAGTTTTTCAAACCGCATATCCTCATTTACGTTTTTTGAAAAGGATGAATTCATTTGAAAATATGGATTTTCTTGATTATTATTCAAAACTACCCTTGAAATATAAGTATGTGGGATATTACAGTGTAAATTGACACTCATTTATTTGCTCCATATCATCAAAAAATAAGTGCAGTACCATCTTTCAATATTTGAAAACAGAAAGTTCATTTTGTATGTAAACAAGAAAAAATACTTTTATGGTTGATTCATAATGAAAAATGACAAATAACATACATCTTTTGAATTAGGGGTATACGGGGACATAGTGGAAATTCAGAAATTTAAACCATATCCCCAAGATTGCTTCAACAATATTGATGGACATACGAATATCGAATGTTGACGAAGTTACTTGACTTGACCGGTATATCAGAATTGACGGTCACATTTTCACATGCATATTCCAAATTTTACAGATCATGGGATGATATACGTAGCTAATGGGCAGGCTTGATAGGGTTGTTGTTGGCCTAAATGTTGGCCTTAAAATATTGGAATTTCTTAAAAAAGAATTTGACCGTTTTCAAATTAAAAAAAACATTTTGAAAGAATTCTTCAGATGAAAGAACAATATAATAAGGTAAACTGATCGTTCTATAGTCGGTTTCGGATATTTGGATTATCCTTGGCCAATATAATGTCCTTGGGACCTGTGGCCCTTTGGCGTCGGGATAATCTCAATATAATGAACCTCATATCGGATAATCTCTATGTATCTCATACTTTGGGAATATATATCATATCTGAAGTGGGGGTAGGATATATTGTTTATGTCCCCCCCCCACTTGTCCATGCGGTTCCTCGGCTACGTAAGGATGTGTCCCTAAGGATTTTTGTTGAATCGTCGATTCGTATTGAACGTGACAGTGTACAGGGTGACCGGAAAAAAAGGAGACCATTGAAGTAATCAATTTCTCCTAAACTAGACAAGTGCCATCAATGAAATTTTGCATACACTGGAACAGTTATATGGAAATTTGTTACTGAAGGTTTCAATACAAGCATTCAACTGGTTCAGGAGCTATGATCATTTACATAACATGCTCCAAATAGGCACAATTGAGACCAACGCAGAGTTGGATTCATATGGCAAACTACCCTTACATGTTCTGCCCTCTATGGCATTATTATGGCATTACATATAGCAGTGATTGCCTTCTTTAGGTCAACAATAGTCTGAGGATTGTTTTGGTATAGATTGTCTTTCAAATATCCATACAAAAAGAAATCAGCAGGATTCAAGTCTAGGCTGAAATGGCAATGAAGGGTTATCTGACATGTGGTTCATCATCCTGTTGCCAAAGTGCTGATTTACCAAATCTTAAGAGTCACTTTAGGTATTGGGCATAGTGCCATGTTACTAAAACCACTATATGGCACAATTAAATCCCATATGAAAACCAAGGGCTGCCCAAAACCTCCTTAGGATGATACTGTAACTGAGTGGGACCACTGAGTCAGAAGCCATAGGTCAGATAAGCTTCGTCTCCATACACCTCAAATTTGAATCCACCTGATTTCTTTTTGTGGGGCAATTTGAAAGACAATGTGTACCAAAACAATCCTGAGACAATTGCTGACCTAAAGGTGGCAATAAATGCTAAATGTAATGCCATAACAAGGTCGGAATATGTAAGGGTATTTGCCAAATGTATCCAGCTCTGCGTTGGTCTCAATTGCGCCTATTTGGAGCATGTTATGTAAATGATCATAGCTCCTGAACCAGTTGACTGCTTGTATTGACACTTTCAGGAACAAATTTCCATAGAACTGTCCTGATGTATGCAAAATTTCATTGATGTCACTAGTCTATTTTAGGAGATATTGCCTATTTCAATGGTCTCCTTTTTTTCCGTTCGCCCTGTAGAATATGAGAATAAATGTCTCCGATTTCCTGTCTCTAAATGTATCATACGATTGAATGTTATTAGCAGAGTAGATAAGGGCGGGATCATTGATAATTAATCAGAGATATTCTATTTATATCTTGGATCGCCTTTGGTTTATTTCAATAATCATATTACATTGTTTTATTGTCATAGATCAATCAGTTTGCCCACTGAAAATTCCAATATTTATAAGACAAAATTTTCTGATCAATGAACTTTCAATTACGTCAACCATAACTGTCTATTCGATGTACTTTTGCTGGAAATGTTTTGACTTGTATTAGGTAGCTACGTGTAGGTTGATATAAAATATAGGTCATGTCATGACGACAAACAAGGAAAACATCGAGTCAATGACTCGTACAGATGGCACCTCACTAATTGTCAGTTTATTCGATTGTTCTTCAAACGACAATTATTTCGGTTTTTGAACCTCAGATACTTAAAATTAAGCAAGCTAATGTTACGTTTTGCCCCAGCCCAATATTTGTACAAGACTTACTTATCAAATATGGTGATCACATAGCTCCATTTCCATTTTCTAGATTTTTACTGGAACTGATTTTTTTTAAAATAGGATTGTGAAAATGGCTTATCGTGCAGCTTATCAGAATCACCTAAAAGTGAGTATATTTTTGTTTTCGATTTTCGTTTTCTCGTATGTGTAGT